GTGTTCCAGTGTAGCAGCATCAGTAGTTTACTTCTTCAAGTGATGTGCAGAAATCCTTCCATTTAGACCTCTTTTCCTTTCCTGCTTTTAACTACCATTTCCTGGAATATCAGAGTTTTATTTTATTTGTTTCAATCACCAAGTATAATTTAGAAAAAAATATATTATAAAAGGATATTCTGTTTTATATGTCTATAATTCAGCTCTCCACTTTTCATCCTTCCTTTCCAAGGCTTGAAAACTCCCTCTGTCCTCATTTCTTTTCTATCGAGAGAATCATCTTCAGCTTATCTTGAAGGGACGTTCTAGTAGCAAGAAAGATAAGGGGATCAATAGTCTACAAAGTTTAAGAAGCATACTCCTTGCTGCTTTACACATAGACATATGAGTTCCCTAGGTTTTAATTCTTTAACCTTAATAAAAAGAGCATTGGATTTCTCTAATGTCCCAATAACTTCCTCTCATTTTATAGGGAAAAATCAGTGCTCTAATTTTGTTTGTGAAAATAGATCTTTTCCCCTTACTGACCACATTGAAAATAGATCTTTTCCCCTTACTGTCCATTTACTTGGACAGTAAAGGATTTGACATTGGAAAACAAGTAACCAACAAATAACTTATTTTGTCATGCCAAGAATATTACATGAATGTGAAGAGAAATCCACTTCAGTCTGCTGACTGTGCTTCAGGTAATTAGGTTTATGGAAATAGAGTTCAGGTTCCCATTGTGGCTGGCAAGAGCCCATTCCGTTTTACACCTGTCATGGAAGTCAGCATGCACCCTCCCAATCTGGAAATGGGGTGGCTTCACAGCTGCTATCCTGGACTCGTGACTCAAACCATCCAGGCCATCCCACGGCTCTCAGAGCGCATGCTCGCCTTCTGAGTTCTCAGTGCTGTTATTTGCACAAGGATTACCTTCTAGTCATCGTTTTGGGGATGCTTACTCACTGAAGAGAGTTTCTTGCTGAAACATGCTTGTGTGACTCAATGCAGGTACTGGAGAAAAGAAAGAGACATTGCCCTTGTCTTTATTTTCTATCTCTTAGGAGTCAATATTCCCCTATCTGTATTCTTAAACAGAAAAAGTGCATGAGAAAAAGAAAGCAAACAGAAAAAATGTAATCATGAAAAACACTTCTGACAGCTATATCGAGGCCACTAAAAATGTTTTTTTAAAAACAGTTAAAGGGATCAAAACAGTAAAATATGTCACTCTACAGTGAAGGTCACAGCCAGCAGCCTGGACTTCTAAGACAACCATACTAGACGCAATCTCTGGATGAGATTTCTTTGTTCTGGAGAGGTGGGAGCAGAGGTTTTGTGTTGTTTACGCTTTTTAAACTAAATTGGTTCCCAATATTCACAATTTTACAATGTTTAACATTTTTGATTCCCACAGTATCTGGAGACAGGAGCTCCTGTGTCCACAGGGGAAACACTGGCTGGCGTGTGAGGCACTGCACGTTCAGCTGGGAGCCAGCCATCCCGCATCATTTCCTCTGGTCTCAGTGTCAAACAGCAGTGGCCATTTATCGCTACTCATGCTTCTCAGCTTCTTCGGGTGGGGCTGAAAAGACAGAATGCCTAGTATCCAATTTTCAACCCCAGTGGAAAATGCAAGGTGGATTAAGAAGGGCAGGTACTCAACACAGAAGAGTGTCATTTTGATAGAGAAAAGTATTCCTCATAGAGAACACATAAGCTAAAGATATTTGTTGTAAAAATGTGACCTGGGTGGCCATCCTTAAACATATATCACCTAAATCCCTTGCTCACCACCATGAATTTGACACTCTTTCCAACAAATAATGTATGGGTGACATGACAGTCATACTGAGTTTCCAGGTTGATTTTGTCTCCAAGAGTATGTAGCATACACTGAATGCGTGGCCTTCGCCTGCTGTACATTCTAATTTCTATTCAAGAACTCATTTGTGACTCAGGGAAGGTACTCTTGTTTGCACATTTGAACGCACTACATACTTGCATGTAAATTTGGGGTTTTCCTTTTTGGCCTAAGTATTGCAGACTCCAGACTGAATCAATTAATAAAACTTAAAAGATTAATCAAATATTGAGGCTAATGCAACATCAGAATACATTAGCAGTCCCTTTCCTGTTAGATTTGGGTATTGTAGTTCATTTTCTACAATTGGCAAGTGCATAATGAGGGTGTTATATGTCGTAAAATGGCTCCTGCTCTAGCTCCCTGAACAGATTTTTAAATTAAAGAAAGAGCTTTCAGATACTTCATAGGGACCGTGTTTGTTTCAGTGGTTTAGAAAACCATCCATCAATTTCTTCTAGGATGTGACAACCACAATGTCTGGTGTTTATTAATTTCCAAGTTAGCATTTCAATTCACTTTGGGGCATGCTGCAAGTCCAGAAGTGGTATGTATCTATCTTATTTCCATTCAGTTTTTGGACAATTTATATTCCAGAAGCTTATAGTTTACTTAAAGAAGATCCCAAAACAGCTTTTCCTTTTAGTTTCATAGAGATAATATCCTAATATTCTACAGACCACTTGAACAGACCAGATTGAAAACAAATTAAAGATAAAAGTTAAGCAAAGCACATCAGCTCTCCTTTATCTTAAGTAGAGTACTGATTAAAATAGCATATTGATGATAGCTAAATAAGAGTGTTTACTAAAACACAGAAGTTATCTAGAAGAGCTGTGAAATTTCTACCTATGATGATATGTTATAGAATAAATGTTACATACCACATGAGGGTATGTGGCATAATATTGATTTCTGGCTACTTTATAATGAAAAAAAGAAAGCTTGCCAAAGTTCAGAGAAACTAAATATAAATGTACGACTGTCACTTCCATATGAACACTAGGCCATTATATTCAAAGGTGGCCTCTGTAAGCTAATAGATTCTTTCTTATTTCCAGTTGAGCTACAGTCTTTATTCTCCGGCACTGTAATATTTATTTATACCTAGTAAGTTTGTAAATGCTAGGAATCTCTTTCTTTATATCATTTTGTGAGAACACAGCAGAGCTGAGAAGGAACAGCTATTGGTGTGTGGCTTCCAATCTTTTGTGTGTGTGTGTGTGTGTGTGTGTGTAACCCAAGAGATTTTCACCAAGATGAATATGAAATATCGTAGAGGTAAATTTGTCTTCACCACATTCAGGGTAAATATCACCTTTTTGTTTCTCTCAGCATTGGAAGTCATTCAGCTGCAATGTAGTAAAACTTTTATCCAAAGACCTTTCCTGTCACCGAAAACTAAATTCTAGAACATTAGGTAAGAAGTGCAAAGAAGAGAGCTAACATTTGCAACAGTACTTGGTTAAAACTCATACATTCCCAGTCACTCGTGTGTCTCTGGCCCACACAATTCCAAGATTTTCCCAGTAGTAATGTGCAGGAAAAGTATTGATCATACTCAACATCATGACAGCCATTTAAGGAATAACCGATATAGGGGTAGGAAGTCCTTAACTTGTCAACCTGTAGAGCTTGGCCAACACATCTTCCCCGAGGGCTGTGGTGGATAGGACGAGGCCATGCATAGCTCCACTCACAGAGCTCCTCAAAGGTGCTATATTGTGAGATTTAAAATGTGAACATCGGAAAAACAAATGTAGGCCCCCTCTCCCACCGTCTCCTGACAAGTGGGCCCCCATGGTGTCCAAAGCAAGCCACTTTTCTGCTTTAGAGAAAGAGGACTCCTTTCATTCTTAGAGGCCATACGGACTGCTGAGTTTTGGGGGCAACTATATTCATGGAATTTGGGTGGTGTATGGTACGACATATGAGTACAAATGAAATCGGGGTCATGTGGCAAAACAGACTTTGCTGTAGTAGCAACATCATGGACTGACTAAGGAAAGAAATCCTGGAGGAGTTTGCAACTGTTTGGTTAAGTGACTGTGCTGTGCTTTAATACAGCAGTACCTCAGTTCCCAACTGAATTCCTTCCACAATGGTGGGGCAGCTGCTGCAGTCCAGTGCATTGCCTCATGTGGAGTTTGAGAACAGAAGCAAAATTTTGCTGAATGCTTCTGTTTGTGAACCGAATTGTTTGCAAACAGAAGTGCGGTGAGCTGAAGCAGTGTATGACTGTACTCCTTGGCCCCCCAGGAGGAAGTGCTGGGGGTTTGTTTGGGTCATGGGTGTGGCGCTCGTGGATAGATCATTGCCCTTCATTTAGGAATCAGCTTAGTCTTCTGAGTTAGATCCTTTGCTGTCCTTCACCTGAGCCTGCTTTCTTTCCACTTTCCATCGTGACGTGAAGCAGGTGGACGCTCCCAGCAGAAGACCACATTGGTGCTGAGCAGCTCAGCTCTGGCTCCAAAACTGTAGCCAAAATGAACTTTATAAAAATAAATTACCCAAACTCATATATTCTCTTATAGCAACAGAAAGCAGATTAAAACAACTTCAGCATCTATTACATGTCTGTAAGGTAAAATGAAAAAGTCTTCCTCAAAAAAAGACCCCACATCTGAATTCTTACTAATAAAAGTCACAGACGTTTTAGTAAGGTACACAGCAAATGAATGGGAGCTGGAGGATGAGGATAGCACAAGGAAATCAATTAACGGGAAGTAATACTAATGAAATAATTTTTGCAACTCTAGGGAAGAGAGTATAGTATTCAGGGGATAGTGGCAGCTGGTAAGTAGAATCAGATTCTAATTTATTGACAAATCATTTCTCATTAGATTCATTTTCATTATGTGTAAAATACAGAACTTAGTTACTACACTGTATTTCTCAACTTTCTGAGAGAAAAGGAAATATAGTGAGATATGTAGAAATATAGAAATTTTAAAAAAATCAACTCTTAGCCTAGACTTTTTAGTATTAAATTTAAAAAAACAAAAATAAAACTAGATCTGGGGTATTAGTTTTGCTTTTCATTGATTTCTGTGCCCTGTACTTGGACCAGAGAGTGTGGAACAGGCTATTTAATTGAGAGTGAAAGCTTAAAAAAAATTCCAGAGGAGAAAATGACAGGAAAACAATAGACTGCTGTAATTATAAAAACTTTATTTCACTCTTACATTAATTAAATCTTTAGACACACCATGTCATGAACTGGCAATCTAGAAAGAGGACACGGGGATAAAACTGCAAGCTGCAAATGTGACACGGAGCATGGAACAAGACCACATTTAGAAAGGTTCACTTGAGCATCTCAGGACAATGCACACGACAGGAATCTAGTATTGATTTCTTCAGACTGGCTATGTTCAGAACCCAAAGCTTGTGCATGTAAACATCAAAAGAAACATTTTATCACCTTGACAGTTTACAGTTTGCTAAAATTTGACCCTGAAAGCATAAACGTTGCCATCTTGTTTCCTCTGCCAGTGCTTGACCACAGGCTGAAAAGATTGATTCCTTGAAAATATAAAGGATGTTTAAAGGCTATGTTTACCATTGTGAGAGCCGTCAGCAAGACCTTTCAGTGTGTGCATTTCTCAGAGGTGACCACCCAACCATCGTGTACCTACTGAAATTCTGAAAAACTATGTATTGTTCAGGAACACGTTTGAATTTGGTCCTCTATTAAAAGACAATTGCCAAGGTGTTTTACATATTTTTAAATTCATAAGCATGTACACGAAAGAATCACTATAAAGAACGTTGCTTCCTGGTTTATGAATAAAAAGTTTATCCTCTACTTACACTAAAACATACAAAAAATAATCTACAAAAATCGTTTACAATTGATTTTAGCTAAAGAAAAAACTTCCTTCAGAAACAAAAATGACTGTGTGGTATAGTATTTTAGCCATCAAAAAGGAATGTAAGTAACCAATAAATATAATGTGCTTTCTCCATATAGACATATTTACACTTGAGTCTTTGGCTTATGTTATTGTCTAAAAAAAGAACTTTTAATGATCCAGCCATCACTGCACATTAAACGAAAATAAGCCAGTTATATATATTTATATATTTATATAGAGATCTGCTACACTTGGAACATATAAAAAATGAAGTTGACTATGAATTTGCACAGCTTTTCTTTTCTTCTTCCTTTCAAGAGTCAACAGCTTTCATTTTAAACAGTGAGAAAACTGCCACAGAGAAAAAATGAGCCCATGCAAGGTGTGGTGGCTGCTCTACTCAAACCAGGAGAGAAAAGGCTGCGGATTCACTGAACAAAACACTGCAGGTTCCCACTTGAATCTGGATCTCATTAAATATAATTTGTGTGGCACTAAATGTTGGTGCTTTCATACAGTCATAGAAACAAATCAAGTCCTTTTTATTAAGATACACGATTTCATAAGAAAAATACTTTCACCTCTCAAATGTAAAAGCTTCCCACCCCCCACATTAAAATCTTTCTGCACAGGTGTGACAGGGACATCTGCTGCTGGCTGAACAGATGAACTGGGGTCTGGGTGACTGTGCTGTGACAAGCCTCACCCAGCTAAGACGACTCCAGGTATTCCAATGCTACATCATAGCAGAAACGGTACTGCTCCTGCGCAACAGGGAAACAGAAAGGTTGGGAGAAGTTAAGAAACAGTTTGTGGTGAGTCACTGACACACTTTGATTATTCGAGACTTGCAAATTATTTTTTTTTCTACATGTAAGATGAACACCTGGCCATACACACTTTGCACTCATATCTAGTGATGGGTGTTCAAGAAAAAGACATTTCATCTTTGCCCCTTATTTTCTGTCTAATTGTTTTAAATTTCTAGAATTTTTATATGATTTTTCAGCTCATTATTGCAGAGAAGTTTCCAGGCCTGGAAAAACATAGGGAATTACAAAAAGAGCTATAATTCTATTACCAGAAGCAACTGTTGAAATATTACCTTAGTTTATTTGCTTCAGCTTTTACAAGACATGCTTGGCTAAAATAATAATTAGAAGACATATAATTCCATACTTCACAATATAATTTTGTATTTTATTTTCTTTTGTGTAACATTATCATGAATCTTTTTTCATGTTTTCAGTATGCTTTTATTTTCTCTCAGTTTTATATTGCTAAAAAGAATGTGTACGGATACATCTTTCCACATCTCTAACTGCTTCCTTAGGAGAATAAATAAATAAATAAATGATTAAATAAACAATTGCACTTTGCAATTTTAAGTATTTATAGTTGGTCATTTGTAGTTTGTCAGAGTAGAACTTCTGCAAATTTTACAAGAATGGTGAGTGACATTTTGTTTTGAGCCTATTTATACCTAAAATTTCATTCCTGCCGCTTTTCTTTAATGAAAACAACTTGGTAAGCAATACATTTATTGCTTTAAAGTTGACTTTCTTTGAAGTCCATCCATAGCCTTGCTACACTATCAAGAATTTAGGAAAAATTCAGAGCCCATATCATGAATGATGTCTTATAACAAGTTATTCATTAAAAAGGTCCCAAAGGAGTCCAAGAGCCTAAAAATCAGGATGAATTGGAAAGTAACTAAGATATCTAAAATGTAATTATTTCTAAGTATATTTAGAAATTCAGATGTCTCTAATAGTAACCTCAGGTAATAAAATTTTTCCCCAAACTTACCATTCTTAACCTAATTACCAAAGTAAATATGATTTAAATTAGCCTTCCACTGTGCCAAAAGAATCAAAAAGGACTTGGAAGCAGTTACATTATGTTTTTTTCAGATAGTTTCTGTGGGTTTTGTTTACACTCAACATTTCTTTACCAAACTCAACTGGGCTAAACCCCACAAACACTAATTGTTAACTTTGATTAAACAGGACATTTAGTCAGGATTCATGGGATAAGAATGTGAAGGAAAACAGTAATTTACTGCATAGTTGTACAATGACTCAGTTTAACTACAGAATTTTAATTTAAAGAAAAGTCACACTATCAAACTTCAATTGGAAAGAAAAAGTTGGATTCAGAAGCCAAGAGTAGCCCCTTCCTCCAACATGATTGCAGGGGATAGAGGCAGAGTTTACATTTTACAAATCTCAAAACTATAGCGTTTAAAGGTGTAATTTCTACCCAATTTTTCTTGTAAAGAGGTCAGAAAATTCTACCTCAAAAATAAAAAACATCCCTCAAATCCATAGGGTCTCCACCTCAGGTGCCAGTTCCCAGTGAAAACCAGCATCATCTTGTCCCAAGTGGAGCAGAGTAGGCGTGAGAGGACCTGGCAAAGGGTAGAAGTCTGCTAACACTTGTGAAAATGAAACAGCATTAACCTAGCTCTTCTGATTTTTGTCTCAGGAAGCAATGCACCTCTGGTGTGAACAATCCAGGAGCAGGAAGTGGTGAAAATACTTTAAAAGTTTATTGAATTGCTCATTTTAGTTATTTGATCATCTCGATAAATGTAGGGCAGGCAACAATGATGCCTTGGTTTTTCTGGTTTGCTTTTTTGTGAGTATAAACTACACAGCTGCTCCTACCCTGGTCTCATCCTGCAAATTTGCATAACCCACAGACATCTCTCTTCAGAAGTAAAATGTGTTAGAGAGGCAGTGACTTTCTTTCTTACTCTGCATACAGCTTTGCCCAGAGGAAACGCTGCACATACCTACCTACCAGATCTTATTCTGGAAGTTGTATTCTGATTTTATGAACACAGGCGAATTCATGTAACATCATATGACTTGTACTCGGTAGTTGGTAAAAGCTGAATATTGCCAGCAGTGATAGTTTAATCATTTATAATTTGATTGGAAAACAAAGAATCAAGGACAATGACAAAAATAAAATGCAGTTCCCCTTTAAAAACAATGTCTAAACTGGGCATGGCAGTACATGCCTGTAATCCCTGTAACTTCGGAATCTGAGGCAGAAAGGTCATGAATTTGAAGCTAGGCTGGGCTACATAGTGAGTTCAAGGTCAGCCTGTATTATGTGGTGAGATCCTATCTCAAAGGAAAAAAAGGAAGTTTAAGGTGCTGAGGTAACCTGTGTACAGGACCACAGAAAAAATATTTTAACAGTTAACTTATTACACCTTCCGAAAGAAAAATAAGTAAAGAGTACAGTCTAGATAGGATTTTAAAGAACTATTTATCAAAATTTACAAGTATTTATTGACTATAATAGGAAGAAAATCTATATATTCCCCATATTTAGTGAAAACATTTTTCTTCATAATTTACAGTGTTTGTGATATGCAATGAATTTATGTGGATGGAGACAGGAGGTTACTCCACAATTTATCAATTAGGCAGGAAAGTCCTCATGATTCCTTTGCACAGCCCATTCCCTGGGCATGAATGAGGTCAAATCAATGTGTAGATGAGCGACCAACTCATCTCTACCTTCCCTCTCAGGCTAAAGTTCTGTCACTCACCGGGGCCTCCACCATGTTTGGCTTGCTGTTCCGCAACGTCTTTACAGCATGGAAAACATCAACTACATTCTGTCGTTTCACCATTTCAACAACAATGCCAATGGCACAGAACATGCCACTCCGCCCACCACCATTTCTGAAAGCAAAAGAAAGCAAAGATATTTCAGCAGTTCAGGGAGGCCATATCGCACCATCACAGGTGTCTGAAGAACAAAAACACTATCTTTTTTATTTTTCTTCATGTGCGTGTTAATTTTGCTTTTTATGTGTGAATATATTTCTACAGGGCACAAAATAAGAAAAAAGGAGGAGGTTAGTTTATAGTAGTTTATACTACTGTAAGGCATAGGCATAGATAGGCTTAGATTCCTGCAGCCTGGAAAACTAAGATTCCAATATACTTGAAGAGACGAAGTGCATAGTCATGTCCAAAAGAGTTTAAATTATACAATAATTACTGTTATGGTTTGTGTCTGTGTGTCCCCCCAAAGCCTCATGCAGTCATGGGGCAGGCTTTTAGAGTTTGACGGATTATGGGTATGAGAGCTACACCCGCCCTGGGGTGGATGGTTTACATATGTAAGGGAGAGGAAGAGGCTGCTTGCGGCCATCCCTCCCTTTTGTGTTTTTGTTGTTGCTTTTGCTGTGTTCTGCTGCCATGAGCTGTAGCCCTCTGCCATGTGCCACTCTGCCTTATAACCTGCCAAGGATGGGCTAAAACCTCCACAAACTGTAAGCAAAATAAACCTTTCCTTCCTTAATTTTGGGCATCAAGTATTTTGTCCCAGCAACGAGAGAAAAGTAACCAAGACAATTATACAACAATATGTAGTACAACCATTAAACTTAGTGGTTCACTATACATGAGACAGGTGTTCCATTTGAAAATAATACTTAGGAGAGGTGTGCAAAGGTTGAGTCCAAAGCTAATAAGCAAAGAGCCCCAGCCCAGGGCCACGCCCGCTTACTCACAGGCAGTGGATGATCGTCCGGCCTTCCCCTTCCTCACACTCCTCTTGCCATTTCTCCACTTGCAGTATCAGTTTCAAAAATGACCTTTTGGAGCCCGGCACTTCTCGATGAGAAGCCCACCCTAGGTACTGAAACTGCTGCACCATCAGATAACCTTCCTGTGGCTGTGGAGGGAAGAGGACTTTTATTTGACTAAGCTGGGACTGGAACTTGGACTAAACAGTAAAAGGTACACGCAATTTACATTTTAAAATGAAATTTACATTGGTCTGAGTCTAGTTGATTTGAGTCCTAAGTATACATAAGCCAAGAGGAAAACTTTCCAAGTTCCTGCGATAAGAAACAGACCCACTGCCCTGTACCTGCTTCTCCCTCAGACCCCAAATCCAGCTACCAGTTCCTGTGACTATGCATCTTAATTTTCAAATTATCTTTTCTTTATTGCCACTGCCAATCAAAGTTAGGATAACTATGTCCAAATTGATCTCCGTGAATAAACATTGATCTTTTCCCAATCTATTCTGACTGTAAGCATCACGATTATTTCAAAAGGCAGACATAATCTTGTCATTCCCTGATTTAATGGCATCCAGAAGACTTTAGCGTAAAACTTAAATCTCTCCTATGAATTCAAAATCCTTTCGTGATCTGGCACCAACTCCTTCCCCAAGCTTTTTTCATTCTGATACCATGCTTGGGTTCCAGATGCACTGCTCTCTTTTAATCCACTTGTCAAGTCACTCCTTGCATTGGAAACTGCAGAGACTGTAACATTTCTCTTTTGCCCTGAAAACTTCCTTGCTTGCCATTCTCAGTCCAAGCAGAGTGATCAACTTGACCCAGATTTTCCATTTTTGCTTTTGCCCTGAAATTCATGTGCCCTGGGAAGCTGTCTCTGTTCGGCAAACCAACATGGCTGGTTACCTCACCCCTAACTAAGACCTACTGATTCTTCCAGTTTTGGTTTAGATGCCATTCTCTTAGAGAAGTCCTCTCTGGTCATGAAGCTATGCCTGATTATCCATTAAATAATCTGTATTCTGTGCTTTTTCTTTGTCATGTGTATGTCAACCATATTAGTCAATAAATGATTATACAATCAATCCTTTAATAATTATCTTCTTTGAGGAAATATACATTCCTTCATGATAAAAATCTTTTTCTCTCTATACTTTGTATCACAAGAACCTTGTGCAACACTTTCTAAATAGTGGAATTGTTGAAAGGACTAAAAATCTTAAATCCACCATAGAAAAATATAAGGGGGATTATGCAATATATTGAGTAAGCCATAACATGAGATCTTAAATTGTACATAGCAATGGCTTATGCATCTTTTGGTAAGGACACAGTCCTACTATAATATTCAACTTGTCACTTATATATCCTAAATATTTGATAAAGTGAATGATACTTTATCATTGTGTATTTGTACACAAATAAATACACAAACAAATACACAAATACACATGATAAAAAATGTAACACAGATTTCTGATCATGTTCCTAGAATATTTTCCCTTTAAATAGCCTCAATTCACAGATGAGATTTACTTTCTTAGTTCAGCAGCTATGGTATCTTAGCTAAAATATTACTTAGAACCATAATGTAACAGATGTGCAGACATAATGAGATTCCATTTAAATTAACATCTAAGATATGCATGAATATTATGACATGATTGAAGTTATCCTTTTTTCTCCACTGAAATGAGCAATAGAATTGGATATGATTTTATCCCCTGCTCATAGTTACATACATATAGACTAATTAACAAGACATACATATAGTCATTTTAATAGGAGAAGCTCTGACACAGGACAATCCCACACACTTAAAATAATGTATGTACACAGAGCTGCCGCTTTATAAAACAAATCACTTTTCCTTATTAAAAAGCACAATTCCATGGAGATTACTAATGTTTTCTTTTCAAGTTCCCCTCTGGCTGGTTACATAATCTAAATAGTTTTCATTGGTAAGTTTTTTTTGGAAGGCAAGACCCTTAAACTTGCTGTCATTTTGTGCAATGCACATGAATAGTCAGGAAAACAGACACCAGAGGGACACAGTTGGTACTTAGCTGCAGGGAAAATACAGAGAGAGAGCAACACGGGTTCTCTCCTTAAGTCTAGGCAGAGCCAGATGCTGAAACTCTTAGACAGATGAGACCATGGGTCAGAGGAGAATCTGCAATGGCTGGGATTTACCTTTGTCTCCAGGCTGGATTTTTCTCTTGTACACAGGACATGGAACTCTCTTGTAATAACTGATCTGACATCTCGCTTCCTCCTAGGGTAAAGCTTCTCTGTCACCATTATTACTATGTTCTTATCTTTCATTTGCACGCCTCTTCAGGGCTGGATGTCAATATTAATAAGACACGCAGTCATTTCCACCTAAGTGCACTTATGCTCAGGGATTGGGCCCAGACTATTGAGCCAGATGGATTTACTGCACCTGACTCTGGACTTCTAGATCGAATTCCTGAGTCTTAGAACTGACCAGAAAATGTAGCTTTCAGCATTTCTAACTTCCTGTATTTGAAATGCATTTTTGTACTACAGAATAAGATGATTACTATCTTTGGGATGGATTACACAGTGTTTATTAATTCTTCTCTCCTTGCTGTCTGATGAAATTATATACCACTGCGATGATGGTCTGTGTCCTGAAGCACCTCAGAATCACCCAATAAAGACTTACTCTGGTTAGGTTGCATATCCTAAAAATCCGGTTGATGACATCACAATCCATTGAACATGACATGCATTCCACTTGGATGGGGCCATAGCGCAGCATTCCTTCTTCTGGCCAGTATTGAGGGCAGCCCTGAAAGACGAATGTTTTGAAAGACAAGAGATGATCATTTTTCTCTAATTTAGGTACTAGAAAGCAGAAACTAACATTTCATTGTTATTTTATTAAGTTGTATACAAATGCACAGAAGCATCCCATGAGTATTAACCTGGGACAAGTCGACTTCATTTAACATCACGATGGAGGTACAGCCATAATCGTACACTAATCTCCAGAAGTCTTTCACAGTGTTTGGCAGCGGGTATTGTGTGACGATGAAAGCGGCTGGTTGCCTATAGCTCTGTGAAGAAATGAGATAGACGGAGAAGCATAAGAACTTAAAACGCACGATTAGTTGTTAAAATAGATTCTATACACTTTGATGGAGGACCAGGAAGACGGGGGAGCTTCACATGCAGATGGAGATGGAACCGGGGCACTGGCAGGCCGTGCTGTCATGGAGGTGAGTCACAGTGAGGAGTGAGTCAGTCTGCCGGGAAGACAGCGGTGTCCCCAAGTAAAGATTTGAATTCTCACTTCACTGAGAAGCATATATAGGGAAAAGTCAAAAGAAGAAGCTAAGGAACTTCTTGAGGGTAAGATCCTCCAAGAGTTACTGTTGGGCTATTTCAGTTTCACAGAGGTGATGAGTTCTGAAAGGCTGAAGCAAAGTGAGTAAAAGTCCCTGGTACATCTGTCACTCAATGGTGTGTGCGTGTGTGTGTGTGTATGTGTGTGCGCGCGCACACACACGCGCGCGCGAGTACGACACTTCTGAGAGAAGCGTAAGTACACCAGGCTCTCCTGCTTTTATATAATGCGGGTGTTATCTATGCATTTTGTAGTAGGCAATTCACTTTCCATGGTTCCTTGGGCATTTCTCATGCACACCAAGGATTAGAAGGACAGTTTTAATTATTTAAAATTCTCAAGTGCTCCAGAGTCAATGCACAGCACAGCTGGCCCCACATAAAGGAGTGATTCTACCTTGTTTATCAAGTGACCCTTGACTAGGTCACAGTACATTATCTTTTTCCACAGAAGAGGGTAGCGATGTTTATCTGCCCTGGGCATTCTGTCATTCCGCAGATGCATAATGTACACTAAAATCTAATTATAGTTTTCTAAAAATAATTGAAGCCAATGGCAAGAGTCTGGGCACAGGAAGGATGGAGCTTTTCATTTGCATGTGCCTTGAGATTATTCACCAGAAGTACAAAAATGAGCAAAGTTGCTGGTTAAAGGGAATGTTAGCAGTAGAATGTGGGAGTTTTTAAATTTCTACTCCATACCAAGCTACTAATTTGTGGAGGATGATGTCTGACTTCTAATTTCTGCTTTCTCTGGTTGCATACGTGAAAGAGCAAAAGCCAGAAATGAAAGGCGACGAACTGCTTGAAAGGGTTCTGAGACCGATAGAGTTCTTGCTCCTTCCCAGTGTAAGATGTCCAAAGACATAATTTAACATTCTCTTTGTATGCTGTTCTGTTTATGGGTTACTAACACACAGAGGATTCTGGAAGCACCCATAGCTGATGAAAATTGGAATGGTGCAAGATAGTCCCTTCCAATGATGAATATATTGGCACAGCTGCCCTAGTTACTTTTAAATACTCTCTGTTAACTCATAGCAAATAAAATAAGTTAGCTGCAAATTATTGAACTGTACTATGGCACAGATATAAATTTCCCAAATTAACATGACTTTGGTAGGGCATAGCCTCCAATGCTCTTTAAAATGAATTGCCAGTGATATTCAAAATAAGTAAGGAATGACTTTTTCTGTAAATAATTTAGATGAAAAAATATAACCTGCAGTATCCCGTACAAATACAATTGGCAATTACCTTTCAAACTAGAAGCAAAGTTACAAAATTATTGTTCCTAAGAATTTCTGTAGGGGAAATCTAAAATTGCTCTCCAAAATTATATATGTGGTAGTACTTCAGTAAATTTTCTGCTTTTCCCTTCTAGCTCACTTTTAATTTCCTAGAACAGAAAGCCAGCCAGTGTGGAGTTGCATTATTTGAATTGCACGGCACTGTGCTCTAACAGAGAAGGCAGTCTCTTACATCCATAAGCGCAGCATTGATGTAGTTACTGCTCTCCCCATCAATCGTAATTAAAAAAGGCAGACATCTGTCAGGTGGCAGCATGTCCATGAAACGGTTCTTGTCATGGTTCCTTGGCAGGCAGGCTATACTGCAGTCTTCGGCTTGCAGTCGAGGGGTGACTGAATTCAGGGTCTACAAAGAAAAAGGAACCCAAGTTAAAAGACAGTGATGCATTTAATAACGCAACAAGGACACATCAAATATTTAGGGGGCCAATGAGCAAGTGAAGGATTTGTTTGAGACAGTGGCACTTACCCCCATGCCAAGCTGATAGACTTTTTTTAGTTAAAGCTAACGAGGCCTGAGACATGACAGAGAAACAAGAAAACATTGTGTAATGTGCCTCTTCTTGAAAGGGGAAGCTAACCAAGCCAGGTACCCAGAAACGGCATTGCTTAACCAAAGAAAATATCACCAATGTGGTCCATGATGACAATGGCCTGCAATGTTGGATACTTTATCATTTATAATCACATTTTCGCATATGATAAATGAAACTATACCAGGGAGCAATGGGCAGAGGATTAGAATCGAAGTATTACTTCCCTAGCACTAACCTTGACTTCACCGTTACCCACTTTAAGAAATTCTTTTTTAAAGGCAACAAACATATTTGGCACTATTTAGAGACAAAGTTTAGTACAAATTTCAGCTATTATTATTAATGTGCTTGATCTCACAGAAGGTCAAAATTCACAAGGCTACATTTTAAAAAAATTATAAATATACACAAATGATCACCACATTTGACTTTTGTAATACATTTTCTTCATACTCTTCTCTGAGTATGAACTCATTTGCCCTTCAGGATATAGCAGATATGAGCTCATTAATACAAAAGTGACTCCATAATATGTATAATGAGAGAGACAGATATTATATTATACTTGAAATAGGGTCAAAGGGTACAAATTTAACACAAAAGACCTTTCTTAAAAGAATTATTAATGCCCAGAATGAACTGTGATGTCATAAAAAAAAAACCAAAAAAACCTTAGAAATCGTCACCTGGAATTCATCTTTGAGATGTGAAGAGTTAGTCTGGGAATCTATTCTGATCATATCAAAATAGGCAGCTTTAAATTCGCAGACAGGTATGGCAGTTTCTCCACATAAGCATGCTTCTAAAATGGCATCATGAATAAAAATGTACTGCTCCTATTAAAGAAGGAAAAAAGTTGATACTATTTCAATACAACTTTTCTGTTGAAGGTAGACGACATAGAAAATCTTATCTATGTGCAGCTGTTCATAAAAATCCCCCAAGTTTCCTATATGACTTGTGCTGATTTTGATTATATATGAAAACTACTGTTTTTGGAAGGCAAAAAAAAAAAAAAAAAAAGGAAAAGAAAAGAAATAGTTCAGTAGCGGTAAATCAGCGTACTTCTGTCTGGACCATATTGATTCTCCGGGATCGTAAGGCTTTGACACAGTTGTAGATGTCAACCACACCCTCTCTTTCTGCCATGTCCAGCATGATATCAATCACAATGTAACAGCCAGTTCTTCCAGCACCAGCACTGTGGAAAACATTAAATTGCAAGAATGTAAGAAATGTTTGTTTGTGGAAGCTTCAATATCTGTTCCACTTTCAGATACACACAATCAAACTGACCTGACAAAACACATAATTTGTACGTGCTGTGTAGGATCTGATTAATTCACCAATAGCTTCACGTGGAGTATGAATTAAAGATGGGAACAAGAGCCACAAATTATTCCCCAACTCAAAATAGTGTATCTATGTCATTCAGGTTCCACACTGCTCTTCCAGTCTTTAGTTTACATACATTTAGTATGAAGCTTGTAAACTCATGGCGTGGAACAAGCAGTGCATTCACACGCTAAAGCTCTTATGGTTGATGCACTGTGTCAACTTGAGAAATTTAGAAGGTTAACCATGGGACTCCTTGTATTGTATCTTGGCTATCAGCCCATGCCCACACCATCTCTGTGACTCTCACATTGACACAATGTATCAATCATAACAAAAGCCTAACTCCAACCTGAAAAATTTTCACAATCAGTGCTTACTTTGGCAGCACATATACTAAACGTTTTCACAATCTTCTCATTATGGGTCCTTGGACAGTGATGCCAGAACGGCCCCTCATGGCCTCAGGGGCTCTGAGGCAAACACCAAGATAAAAGAACACTCATTCCAAAGCTTTTAAATGAGACAACAAGGGGTCACAGTTCACAGGACATGCTAACAGGTGGGAAGGTGGGAAAGGAGAGGATGGCTAGCTATCAAAGAGGAGCAGCTTGACTGCAGAAAGAGCATTGGCATCAAGATCTGCAGGGAAAATCAAAACAAAATGGTAATGCAGAAGATGGTTCCCAGCAGGACCCAGCAATAGCCACTATCTTAGTGTATTTTATTCAAAAACTAAATCATAGTATTCTTTATTATTTGACCCATTGGAAATGCTCCTCCAATTTCATATGTAACAGTTAATGGAAAAGAAATCAAGATGAAGAGTTTTTGTTTTGTTTTGGTGAGGCACAGAATTCATTGTGTAGTCAGCTTCTTCCTTTCCATAAATCCAGAGATGTTTGAGTTTAAGTAGAAATTGACATTTGTTTCAAGAGGGTGTCTGGGAATCCCAGAGCACTTATAAAGCAAGTAATTCTTAAGAAAGTAAACCTCTGTGATAAATCAAGAAGTTCCTGAATTGAAAACCCTTTTATCTCATTTTCTAGAGGCTTAGATGACCCAATAGCTATTTCTTTGTGATTGAGATTTGGTCACTTCTCTTAAAACGCTCTGTTCTTTTAGGAATTTCTGCAAGAGATATTGTGTCTCTCTTTCTTTCTTTTCTCCCCTCCCATCTTCTCGATCCTTCTTCCCAGGGCTTGAGACAGGGCAGCAATTGAAGCGTGCATCAGATTTCTTGAGCAGAAAGATTTTTTCCTTAGGAGTGCACAGTATCTGATCCTATGGGATGCCTTATCTGTTCCAATCGCCATTGTTTTTACTTCCTTTTATCCAAGACCATTTAAATCCTGAAAAGGTGTATTGGGGGAGGGGGCGAAGTGCTTAGGAACAACCTATTATGTAGCGTGGAGGGGACATTTGAGAATGCATACAGCATTTAGAAAAGCTTTTCAGATTCAGAACTTATTTTTCTGGTCACATCTTAAAATGAGCCCATGTAATTTGCTTTTAGTGTCTCACAGTGCTTGTTTTAAGAGAAATTTCTAATCAGAAGAAGTGTGGATATAATGTTCGCGTCTCTTGGCATGTATTCACTGTATTTCACTGATGTACTTTTCAAGGTCCTCTGATGGATGATGTGTTGAAAAAAAAATGTAAAGTAGCTGTTTTGCAGTGCAAATTCTTGCAATTTAGGCCATTTAGCAACTCTGTATGTCTCATATTTAGCTTTAAAAGCTGGGATTCTAGGGAGAATTTACTAGATTGGCAAGAAACCTCTGTTTTAACCTATCATTCCATACAATATGGGATTTGCAAAAGTGATTTAAAAACGCCCCAAAACGCAGATGTTGTCACTAAAAGGCAGAGTTTTCTACACTTGTAATTGTGGATGGCACCACATACACTGGGAAGAATGTATGTATTTCTTAAATTTCTGTTTTATATCCTACTTAAAGCTAACTTTCATTGCTGTTTTATATTCCCTGTAACACACAAGAGCTACAACTTTGTAGGCACATGTTGGTTTTTGTGCAAAGCTTGTTTTTGACTCTCTTTTAAAAAAAAAACCCTGATTGCCAGGCATGGTGATGAATGCCTGTAATCCTAGCACTCGGGAGGCTGAGGCAGAAAGATTGCCTTAAGTTCAAGGCCAGCCTGAACTACATAGGGAGAGCCTGTCTCAAAAAACAAAACGAGCAAACAAGACCCCAGAAAGCTGACTGCATACAGGCAATGGTGTTTGGACCACCCTCACCTGCAGTGCACGACGATAGGGCCTGCGCTGGGAGGGTTGGATAACTTGACTCTCCGGATGAAGGAAAGAAGGCCAGTGGCATGGTACGGCACCCCGTGGTCCGGCCAGCCCGTGAAGTGGAACTGCTTCACTTCACGGATTTCGTTGTATCCCCTCTGTACAAAGATGGAAACAAGTGCTTTCAAAAGGACAAAGTAAACCCATTTAATGTAACGATGGGTACTAAATCAGACCATCAGCGCTAACTATTACAATTTACCAAAGATCAGATTTTTTTTTTAAAAGGATGCTAGCTTAACATCGCCTAGATGCTTCTTTTTGTTGTCCCACAATTGCCACCAAAGAGAGAAAATTAGAAGTTCTGTAAGTCTGTAAATTCTATCAGTCTGGGTAAATTTTATTTACCTGACAGCTTGCTTGTTTGTTACTGGGCAGGATAACACATAAAAGTATTAAGGGGGAAAGGAGGAAATACAAGAGCCTAAATGCTGCCCGGTTGACCCAAGGCGTCGTGCTCACCGCTGTTCTATGAACAAAGACTGCCAGCTTCTCACCGCACCGAGAGATCTCAATGCCTTGCTTATCCATGTTGAAAATGGCTTTGCAGCGCGGCACAGAGAGATTTTCCAGGACGCTGGTACTCTAGATTGGTTTGTGAAAATGTACAGACAGCTAACCTGTACGCTGGGTAAACTGATTCTCTTAGCTCTGGGAAACAGTTCAGTGCATGAGGATTATTCATAGTTAACAAAAGTATAAAATGAAAGAAATGAAGCATTCGCTCTTGTGCATCTACCCTATCAGGTTCATCTGAAAGGACCTTATAAATGTGCAGCGCAAAGCTTTCCTTCTCCTTCTCGTGAAAAGAAGTCTGGAGAATGGGGTCGCACAGCGTGCAGAGCATAAGGGAAATCCTGAAAAATTTATTTTTAAGAGTGCACATTTGTGGCAAAAGAAAAACAAATCCACTCTAAACCCCGTAGTTGTAGCTCCACTGGGGACTACGCCTTCCATCAGAAAAGGCAAAGACGTTACATGAAATAAATAAACCACACAGAGCAAAGACAAATTATTGTAGTCATATAAATCAATATCCCCACACGCTTGCAAGACACTGATCCTGTGTTACCATTCGCTCAGTTCTAGTTCCGAGTGCATAATACGTGGCCAAAGCAGGGCTCGACAAACAATTGTAATCATCACAGGACAAACATACAAAGTCACACTGATGGGGGCTGGGGATTTAGTTCAGCGGCAAAGCGCCTGCCTGGCAAGCGCAAGGTCGTGAGTTCAGTTCCCGGTACGGGAGAAAAACCAAAAAAAACCACCAAAAACCAAAAAAAAAAAACCCCAAAATCACACTGATGGAAAAAACACCTTTCTTGCTGACTTCTCAAGTTAGTTCTAGGGAGGAAAACTCCTAGGTATTCTCAGGTCTAATTTTAGATAATCGTTTTACCTCCTTAGAAACATGGTGACCAGAGTGCTTGGACAGCCCTGACTTCCTTCTTTGTGTCACATGCATAAGACTTGCTTTTCTAAGTCATTTTTAAAAAATCTGATGGTAAATGTTCTATCATTCTTTTCACTTAAAATTTCCTGAGTGCTAACAAAATGTGGTTCCCTCCTCCCAATAAAATAACTGTTTTTCAGCTCTGAATAGTAAACAAAAATTAAAAATAAAAATTCCATGATATTTCAATCAGAATTGTATTAAATCCATATAGTGTTATTAATATCAAGTCATATGTCCTGTCATATGTTTTGTTTTATAAAACTAATCCTGTCATATGTTTTGCTTTATTCAACTAATACTTGTGGCTTGTAAAATACAATCAAATTTTGTACTATTTATTATTCTGAAATAATTTTAATGTCTCTTTTTGTTTATTGCTGATATAAGGAAAAGGTATGATTTAAGAATATTTATGTTGAATTAGTCATTTAAATGAATGTGGACTAGTTTCATTATTTAAAATATTATATCTAGTTTTCTTGGTATGAAATACTTTCATCTTAAAATAACTGTCTTTTGCAATTGTTATGGTGTGTTCCTCTTGCTGAAGTCATTTGTTAAAATTTCCAAATAATGTTGAATACTAGTGAGAATGACTTTCGTTTTTTCTAATGATAGTAGGAATAAGCGCTTTTTTTTTTTTTTTTTTTTTTTTTAGGAATAAGAGCTTTTAAGTTGGTTTACTATAATAAACTATCATTGTTGAGTTGTCTTTATCAAGTTTAGGAAGTCCGTTTACTTTGCTAATTAAAGTATTACTACAGATGTCTTTGAAATAAAATTAATTACGTGAAGCTGTTAATAAAATCATATAATTTTGCTCCTTTAACATGGTAACATAATGAAATGTCCTGTTAGATTTCCCACCACAGCTGAAATATCTGTGGATTCTTAGAGAGAAAAACAGAACTGTGATAGATCATGTGATATTTCACTCAAAGTTGGATTAAAGCATTCAGTATTTTATTTTGAAAATTTCTTATGTGGAAATGAAATTGGTCCGCAGCATGTGCATGTGCCTGAGAAAGACAGAGGGACAGGGTGAGCCAGGCAGGGACAACGACTTATCGCAGGATGTGGTTCAGAGACAGCACCAGCCTGAGGGAGCTATCCAAATCTATCTTTGTGCATCTTATCAGCATTATGCTAGCTTTCCAAATATATTTTGTTGATTTTAATGATTTTCCATAGCTGAAATAGTTTGAATAACACAGGCATTGGCTATTATTTCAGAAGATAAAGGGACCTCACCTACAAAGTCATAGTACAATTTTAATGGTAAATTTAACACTCATTCTATTTTCTTCTACATATTTTCAGATTTCTAACTCTTTTTGCTCCACATTTTGGAAAGTATGATTTGCTAGGAAATGAGTGCCTCTACAGTGAAATCTAGGTCTAAGTTCATACTTAATAATTTTTTATAACTTTTCTACTCTAGTACATATAGCTGTAATTATATCTTTTTTATGTTTTTCAATATAATATACTTTACACAATATTATACCTTTCCATTGTATCATATTTAGAATCCACAATGAATTAATTACTTCATTGATCTTTGCAAGGATACAGTTTTAATTTATCTTTTCAAATTGTTGGTATTTCTCTTTTATATTTAATTTTCCTTGGTTATATTCCATTGATATTTGTAAAACTTTATAACTTTTCAAGATTTTTAATGGTCTTTCAAAAATAGAAACATTTTACAAACATAGGTTTTTCTTAAAGGATAACCTGAGGTAGATGTTCGTGTAAATTGCTGATCTATAAAATAGAATTTTAGTTTTGAGGTAATCATTCATTCAAGAATTATTAGGAAAAAGATGCCTAAGAGTTAATCTGTGACAGCACCGCACAGTGATTTGGTGGTGTACTCTACGGGATGACAGGACGCCCTCAACATTTTGTTAATGTACACAGCTTTCCTTTCTGGCTAAGTTCATAATTGCTTTTTATGGCACTGGTATGAATTTAAGAGAATGTGTATTTCCCATTCTCTGTATTTAATAATGAGAGATGGTTATTTAATAAATTTAGTTTAATGGTGCTGGTTTTTGAAATCTCTCTTACTGCTTATTTTGATTTGTGTAAGAAGTTTATACCCATATTCTGCAGTTGTGATATTTATAATTATGTGGCTCCATATAATGCTGGTTGTTATTTAATATTTTCTTTAATTTTTCATGTTGCTAAAATTACCAAGTGTCATTCATAAAGAATGATATTTAGCAATCATTTGCCTATATCCCGTTAACTATTTTGCTGTTATAAAATATTTACATTTATCTATAGCTGTCTGAAAATATAAACAGAGCCATTGTATTAAATAAATGTCCTTTCTTCAAGCTATAATGCTCTTTTTAATTATATATCACTCCTCAAAAATTACACACTATTTTTGTCTACTTTGGTGATTATCTGCTTAAAGCCAAGGGTTTAAAGCAATTTAGCCAACATCAGCAACACGTGAAAATCTTTCAGTACACACATTTGATGAGGATTATTCTTCTAACCATTTTGTTGCTGATTTGAAAGTACAAGACTGTACATCCACATAAGGTCATGCATCTTTGATAGGGATGTTAGCAACTGCCTTTCTTCAGGGATTCTAGTATTTTCTGTTTGTATTAAAACCATGAAGGACACTGATAGTCACAAGTTTCTTGTGTGTGTGCTTTTTAATATTTGTTTTACAAACCAGTTTACACTTCCATGTGCTTCAATCTATGAAGCCGTCTGGCAGTAATATATGGTTCTGCGCCTCAATTCTGTCTACTATATCACACTCTTGTTTGAGTCTTTTCCCTTAAAAATAAAAATCAGATTGTCTTACCCTCAGACTCAAAGCCCTCTCCTGTATCACAAGCTAAAATCATTAGAAGGGCTAAAAAGGCCCTACTTTCCTGGTTCTATGACCTCTCTGATGTCAGTTCACATTTCTTTCCATTTCTTCCTCATCTCTTGACCCCCGGCCTCTTGGGCTTTTCTCCTTGGGAGGGGGAAACTGCAACCACAAGGTCACTAGAATGACTCTGAAACAGTCTTCCCCAGCACAACTGGACACCACCCCTGATCCTTGGTCATGTTGTTTTCTTGACAAGTACTCCTTTGATCATCATTTCAAAAAGAGTGAAGCACTTCCCCTCCCAATTCAATAACATTTTCTATTTCAATTTCCAAATTTTTTTTTTTTTTTAACCACAGTACAGTTCTTTTGTGGTATATTTACTTATTTTATATTTACCGACTCTTTCCCCTCTATAGACAGATGATAACCTCCATGAAAGCAAGGATTTTAACATGTGTCCCAAGGTTAAGAAAACATGCTTGGCCCACAGGAATGCTGACAGAAATATTTGTGGATTGAATTTATTTCATATCATCAAAAGAAAACCTGGCAGGGATTTGAAGAGAAAGACAGTTTCAGTGAACGTGGTTGTAATAGAATTTTTAATACTTACCCTTTCTAGAGTGAATGTCCTTACTACATATTCAGCAAGTGGTTCCATTTCTACACAGGTTACTTTGAAGTCACCGTAAACTTCAGTATCATCAGGCCAATATTTGTAGCACTTAACCTTAATGACACAAAGAGTACATAGCTAGACCTGAACGCAAAATACTCATTAGCCAAGAGGATTTAATTCCAGTGGTTACTCTTTAGGAGACAACTACAACATAATCAGAAATACACATAAATAATAAATAATGCTACACAATAAATAGAAAAACTTTGTACATTCTCATAAAATGATACAAGACTAAAAATGCCAGTAGATCTTAGCACAGAATCAATGCTTATTGTATTATTCAGTGAGATCTTAAATATTTTCGTAGCCATTGAACGTTCAATAGCACTCAAGTGATTGCTGCACTTATAAAGGTTTTCTTTAATAAGCGACTGAATAATGCTCTTGTAAGTGCATTGTGCACTGCATCTCAACTCTGCTTGTGTTTATGATGAAAAAACACGTTCTTTTTCTTACCCGGCCCACTTCCACTAAATTTGTCACCATTACAATGCAGGCAGACTGTTCTTGCCACACCATTCTCCAGAAATCATAGACAGTCTCATGAACGGGACCTATGAAGAAATTAATTTGAATTTTGTAGTTAGTGAGAAGTGTACATAGGATAAACAGCAGAATAGATTAAATGAAAAAGACACTTAAAAAGCTAATACAGAATGTCACTAAGACTATTGAAGGTCGTCTTACATCTAGTCATACTGCAGCAAACCTTGTAAGCATAGACAAGGTTCTTAAAATTTCCTTCTATACTTCTCAAGTCATAAGACGATATCAGTAGTTTCTAGCGCAGTTGAACTTTTCACTAATTGAGTGGAGTGCATCTCTATTTTTTTTTTTTTTTTGGTACCAGGAATTGAACTCACAACCTCACCCTTGCCAGGCAGACGCTGTGCCACTGAGCTATATCCCTAGCCCCTTGGAGTGCATCTCTAAATGCATATGGAAAGCAGAACTCAAGGTACCATCAACCAAACAACATCTATTAGTAATTAAGTAAATGCCCATCATTTATCAACAGTGGATTTTCAGAAATTAGTGAAGAAGCATCCTTATATGTAAGAACACCTCCTAATACTATGGCATATATCATCCCCAAACTGGAAAAGCATGTGCAGGACCATCCTAGTACCATAAAACTAGAAGACTGCCTAAAATAATGGTTACTCTCTCTAAAGAGTATTCAGTTAAACTCAGTTACTCCAAAAACATGTCAAAACACTTAGAAAGGGTCTCTGTCAAAAGGGCAAAGATGGCTTTAGGTTCACTTTTCTGTTGTATACAACAGAGGTATGTTTCTCTTTTGATAGCCGGCAATCAATTTGGAGAGATAAGTGTAAACAATGTTGTTTTGTTTGGATACTTTCATTCCCTGGAGCACCACTGTAAGAAGATCCCCCTACTTCTTACTGTCCACAGTGAATAAACTTACTATATTCCTGCTAGGTCTTTTTTGTCTCAGTCTTGACTTGTCAGAGGATTACAGGGAAACAGTGTAATATCTCATTGTGACAGTGTTGGTCTTGGGAATTATTACACTCCAGGCTTAGCAACTCTGCCGGAGCACAGCCCCTTATACAAGGAGAGCCCTCACATCCATTTCCCCCCAAAATTAGTCCTTCCTCAACCCAGCAGCACGGACTTGTGTTTTGAGGTGGGTGGATACTAAGGATGAAATCACAGAGACTACCAACAGCTTCTCTGCACATTCAATTAAAAATAAATCCATCAAATCTATGTTCCACCCAGATAAAAATTTTGAACTATGCAAATGAGTAAAGATCAGTGTTAGAAAAGCTAATCTTTTCAGTTAATTCAGAAAAATGGAAGAAGAGAGTCATATGGCTGAATAAGCAAAGTTGTTTACTCTGTAACATTTATAAAGACAAATTGATACCTTGGGTTGCAATGTAGTGACTTGGTCTCTGGTAGCCCTAAAATGGGAGAACATTTCAGTCATCATTTTACAATAGGATCACAAATAAATGAATGAAGGCATAAAAGGATGAAGACAATCACCTGTTAAGGTTAAATTATAGTAAAAAGTCCAGAAATGAGTAGTGAACACATAGTTCACTTCTCAAACCTACATTATCTAAAGGATAAACATAAAGCAAAAATTAAATATTCTAAAGGCTCTGATTAGAATAAATATTGTATAATTGAGTTTTGTTTGCTATACAATAACCTCATAGATTTTGTTTGGTTTCACTGAAATGTTTATGCCTTCATGTTAATCTTTAGTCATTCACTGGTAGTAAAATTGTGTTTAAAAATATTAATTCTGGTTTTATCACCCAAAAGTACAACACACTGCATTACAAATGGACAAGGACATATTAGAACCATAAAAAAATGCAGAACATTCCAATGTTAGAGCTGGACAATGCATGTGTGCATCCAATCAAAGTCCTGCTGAGATTCTTTTAGAGAATATCTACATTCTACTACATGTTCAGGAATCCATGAAAACTACTTTGTGTGTGCTGCTAATGCTAAAGTTAATTTGCACACATACACATAAAATTATACACACATATATAGGGAAAAAATTGTTTTTAAAATGCATCCTATCTCAAACAAAAGGATTATTTTCTTCAGTGTCCCAGAAATTTTATGTAAACATTTAGAACTGTTTTAATAAATTATTCCTGAAAAGGAATGTCTGGCTATTTGCTTTCAGATAGCTGGACTGAAAAGAAATCATGATTTGCAAAAATACTAATGGGTTAAGTTTTGAAATCTTGTGTACATTTACCAAAGAGTTTAGTAATACTCATTGGGAAAATTTGTCCACATTTTTGTCTTGCCAACTTAAAGCACATATAAGTGCATATGAACTGAGATCTTGAACCCAAAATTTAATAGCATGTGAATTTCAGTTGCACAGCTTGAAGACTTCTGTTTCTTAATATGCCAACATAGCTTAATGTTTTCTGCAAGCATTTCAAGTCATTTTTAATAAAATATTTACCAATTGCTGAAATTATACTAATATAATAGGAGAGGAAATGATATAATTATTTAGTAATCAGCCAAAATACACTGGGGTCTTTATAAATGTTGGGTAAAATTCTTATTTAGAATACAGTCTTATAGAACAAAATATACCAGTAGTATTATGATAACTCTCTAGTGTATATATCTTAGCAGAAAAGTCAAGTTAAATCAAAAAGGTAAGAACAACTACAAACTTAATCAAAGAAGTGTTTACTTTATCCTAAAGAGTAGACAGCTTAGTTTTCCACGACGACATTTCTGCTGAATTGCAATATGGAATAAGATTATAATCCAAAATTGAATCCATACACTCATATATTATACTTAATACAATAATCCAACTAAATAAATACTTATAATTTACAAAGTAACTTTAAAACGTTGCCTTCCTAAGTGTGATCAAAATTATTTTCTATTTATAGAAGTTAGAAGAAGTTGAACCTTATGGTTCATATTTGCATGTTTAAGTTATGCATTATGCTACAGTACTGAACTTCTACATTTTGCCCTAGAATTATGTCCATTTAGAATCAACTTCAGCACCTCTCTTTTAAGTGTTAAAAATGGCTGAAGCTTAATGGATGCTAAATATGTGCTAGGCATGATCCTAACTGCTCAGTGTGCATTACTTCACTCAATTCTTAGAATAAGGAGATGGGGTTAGCACTATAATAATTAGCCCCCTCTAGAGAGTAGGAAACTGATGCACAGATAGGAAAGTAACATTCCCAAGATCTCCAGTGTGATTTTGAACCAGCTGACATGAGCAAAGAGTCTGTCCTCCTTATATATAATGTAATATCTTGCCTCAACAATATTTTACTTGATAATTACTTTCCCTTACATAATTGATATGCATATATATATATAATTTCATCAAAATTTAATAGTAAATTATCAAAACCAACTTTTCATTTATAAGATTCGATATATATGTGTGATATGGCTATTTTAAAATTGCAATTTAGTAATTCTTTTGCCTGAGTAATTGGCCTTGCAAGCCCAAACCACACCCCACAAAATAGTCTCCTACTTATTTTTAGCATCAGGAGCCAATTTAAAAATTAAATTTCAGAAACACTAATACACATCATACTATCCAGCTTCTCACATATGTTTGGGAAAGGGTAAGAATAAAAGTCAGAAACAGAAATCATCAACAAATAAAACTCGAGTACATAATTGTTGCCAAAATGACCTGTTTTTCTAAACAAGATAAGGGGAAGGAGGTAAAATAGATCTTTACACATGTAAAAGAATTACAAAAAATGAACATAAATATACTGTATGAGACTATTAGGTGAAGCATGCAGAGAGAAGTAGTAGTAAGCATTAGTAATAATTATAAGTAAGAATACTGATATTAAATACTTATAAAAGGGTGCTGTTATTTACATATAGTGGTACTTACATCCCTGTACAGCCAAATCTACAGCCCAAACCAAAGTCAGGTGTGAAAGAAAGCACAACAACATCAGTAAGTACTAGGATGTAGAACAAGGAAATGTGTACAGTTTGTTCTTTATTTAAAAAGCTAGCAATTACTTTACAGGTAATAACAAGAAAACGTTCACCGATATAAGATGATAAAGTGAGCTACTAGCCACATATGGACCAGAAAAGTACTTACATCTATATAGTTGGCATTAATGTAATCTGAAGAAGGATCATCCTCGACAGGTTGCAAAATTACTCTGGAGTGATCGTCTAAAATATTTAAATAATAAGACAAACCTATGAAATTTTTCTCTGTTCTGAGACAATGCCACTGGTAGTAATTTAAAGTAGTTCAGTCTCTAACTCTTCTTCAGACCTGCCCACGCTCCATATACAATTTACCACGGCCAAATTAGTCATTGTAGGGAAATGCATGAACTGTAATGCACTTATTACTTATTACATTCATAGTCTTCTGTGCATACACCTTCGCTTGCTCACATTTACAGTTAGGACGTACAAAGGAAAATCATACCATACAATGAATGTGAGCCTCAAACCTGACCAGAGAACAGAACTGGCATAAATTCTACTTCCGGTTCTTACTTCCGGTTCTTAGGCATGATTTTAAAAGGATGAGATCCCATTTCTCTGTATTTAATAGCCCAAAAAATCTCAGAAGTAGACTGAATTTTGAATTCTCCTCTTTTCTTATGAGAGTCAAGGTTAAGATGTGATGTATTTCAGATACTTGAAAATTATTTAAATTCATGAAAGAGGAAAATAAATAGCTCATTAGAAGTTAAATCATCTACTACTTTCTTTATTGCTCCTGTGGTTTCCAGGGGCAAGGACTTTATTTTTGTCAGGTCCTCGTCAAGAAGCCTTAATCAAGAGGAAGGCCTCAGGAAGGGATAACACGGAACAACTGGTGTCAGCCACAAGTTCCAAGCAGGGAAGAAAGGTATACAGAAAGGATAACATCCAACCCTGAGTGGAACTGCAAGGTGTGCCGGAGCAATTTATAACTGAAAAGATCATTTTCATTTCCTGATATTTTTAGCTGTTTAATAACACCCCCATGCATGTACATACAAATGTCAAAACAAAGAGGGTGTTATCTCTATGCAGTGAAGACTGAGTCAATTTAATTAATGAGAATAAGAACAGCTTCAGAGAATCTGCTAATACCACTCCTGTCTTTAATATTAAATAGATTACTTTATAAACAGATGTGTCACCCTCTAGGATTATCTTAAAATCTAAAATCATACAAGCAGGAATTAAAACTCACTGTATATCTTAGTCACACAATATTTACATTCACCAAGAATTGTATGGGGGAAAAAAAAGAATTGTATGGGAACTTACATGCTATAATGTTTCCATATCGGTTTTTTGCTCTATTTTGATCTTTTTTAGCTACATCCCACGATGCTGACTGACCTTCAAAGAAGCTCTGGGAAAAGAGCAAAAATTAACAAGCACACTGGATTTAATTCTGTTTTCATAAAACGGGTTTATCTGTTCTGAGGTCTAAAATACTAAAAGCCATTTTCTGGGGGAGGCAGGGATTCCTACTGTAGTAACCAAGTTGCATTTTCAAATCTCAGGGCTGGTTTGCTGGGCTCACACTTGTTCATCTTGGATTGGACAGAGTTCAAATGAAGGACAAAAAATAACTCTGAAGAAATAAAAAGGACCTTGAAAGTATTTCACATTTAAGATAGCTCTAACTTTGTAAGATGGAAACAGAAAATAGTATTCTTTTCAAGACATAGTGAATAATAATGCATCAAAAACTGCAAGAACTGTTTCTAATGAGTATCTTTCAAACATACATTCAGTAGTATTTATAACAGAAAAAAACCCACTGCTTCCTTCAGTAATTATTCATTAAATTATGTGCAGTACATCATATTTCGGTTTCTTTGAAGATCATGAAAAGGACCGTCCCTACGACAAGGGACCATATGAAAATTAAAAACTCCCCCTTCCCCAAGAATATGGAAACAGATAAATTTGTTCATTGGTTTAATTACCATATGCACCAACTTAGAAGGTGGGGGAAAGATTTCTTTTTGCAGAAAACCTTAAACTTTGCTCAACACAGGAAATGGGGTCTTCAAAGAGCCCACAGTCTTTGAAGCCAAGTACACAGGAATGCAATGAAGTGAACACAAAGAACAAGTCTGGCAGGATATTCTAATTTTCCCTGCATCTACTTTGTTATCACAACATAGCGCTTCAGCGTATATCTGAAACCAACACTAAAAATTCAAAGACGGGTTTTATTCACCTCCCAAAGAAGTTATTCAAGTAGTTTGTGGATTAAATGTGGAGTTTTAAAGATTTTTTTTTTTTATGTATTTGGATATGCTTCAAAGTTTTTCACCGTAAGTATTGATGGGATTCTTTCACGTTCGGTGTGTTTGTGTGTCCTGAGGTGAGGTTAAGGTAGGGGATGGACAAGCTTCCATGCCTCAGACTAACATTTCTCAGCAAGTGCAGGGTGACGTAGGAACCTTTCCCTTTTTGCCACACTGTGTTTATTGGAGTGCTCTGTTGAAATCACTTCCTTTGGAAGATAAATCCTGGTACTTTGGGGTGAGTAGGAAGGGGAAGTAGGTTGGAAGAATCCCCACACCCTTCTCTTGGCTTCTTACTGTTTCTGCGGTTTGCAGGGAGCACTTTTCATTTCTGCCACCCTCAACCAGTCTACACCAAGGTGAACCTGAGACTGGCAAGTGGTACACTGAAGAGAGCAGATTCATTCTCCTCACCCCGAGAATCAGGAAGCAAAGAGACAGAAACACCTGGTACTTAAGTAAGGAAACGATATTCAAATGATAGGAAGTGCCGTGGTACAATGGAACTCCAGTCTTGCCAACTGATTTTTTAATAGGAAAATGTAAGGAGCATGTAACAAAGTGTTTTTAATACCCAGCAAATAAATTATGGAACCTAACATTAAAGTTCTTATAAGGAGTGCAGATCCAGATCTATACTTAGGGATCGTTTTTTGTTTCTCTTTTTATTCAATTCCACTCCCTTTCCTAAGATATACACTTGGTTTTATGTTCATGAACGCTGGACTACACAAGCTACAGAGCATTCCACTCCTTGCTATGTGAAAAGGAGGAAGAAAGATCAATTCCACCCGATGCCACGGTTGAAAATCAAAGGTGACACACTACTGACACATTCACCTCATACTCCTCTTTGAATCCGTAGCTGTCCGATGTCTTCATGAGGTTGATGTGCTGCAGTAAGTCGGCCACTCGGATGGCCGGGTGCAGCTGGCCTGTCTGGTAAGGGGACTCCGTCCCCTCGCAGAGGTAGCGAGGCACATCAAGAAGGCGACTGGACTCTGGTGTAGCACTGTGGTTTTCATCTGGCATTTTCATATTCCAAGATTAAAAAAGAGATAAAAGTATCCTGTTGAATATACGTCTATGCAAAGGAGATTCTAAGAGCTTACGATCTTTCTGATAACAGAAGGGAAGGAAATGGTAGCCACTAGGGGCCTAGGGCAGCAACCCCTTAAAGACAAAGTCTTGGGCTTTTCCTTCAGCTCAAGCCTTGATGTCAGAGCATATTCTGTGTGTGTTAGCAAGGCACTGATACTATGAGATGAGAGATCTGCTTTTTATAATGGTACAGGAGGGACTTAGGAGGGTTCTTACTGCTCTTGTATCTATTGGGGGCAGGGCCAGAAGACCAAATCATCAACTGGGGAAGTGTTTACACTGCAGATTAAGTCAGACAAACTCCTTCTCACCCACTCCCCAACCTCCCCTAGAGACCTGACCTGGCCACTCATCCCCACAGCTCTCCCTTGGGCCCCATGGCGCTCCTAGGCCCTGCAACCCAGGGCTGCTTAACACAATACGCCCTAGACTGGGAACCGTGAGCACTTTTCTGATAAACTTCAGACCCCATTTTGCCTGCAGAACAGGCTCCATGTGCATTTGATTTGATTCCTGCCGTTGGCTTCTTGTTAATATTGCTGCCTTTGTTGCTAATGTATTTTGATCTTTCTGACCACCATGCCAACAAAACCAGGGGTGCTTCCAGAGCAAACTGTGGCTACCACCCCTGGGTTCTCCCCACGCTGCTCCAGGCCCAGTGACAAGGCTGCTTCTCACGTCTTCGCGCCTTCCTGTTTTGCTACATGTCACCTCCCTTGATCTCTATTTTAATTGTTTATGTACTTGTCTGCTTGCATTCCTCAACCCTGAGTGCATAGCATGTAGAGACAGTTCTATGTTTTATTCCTAGTCTATAACAGTCCAAAAAAATACCTCAATAAATAAGTTAAAATCAATTGAGTCCCTCACCACCCACATTTAAGTGTAGGCCCCACCCCAATTGTGTTATTAGGTCAAAATGAAAAGAAAATTTTCATTTTCTTTCTGTCATCAGGAGGAAGAAAAGAACAAGAGCATTATGCCTAAGAAGAATGAAACAATATTTTAATGATGGAAGCACTAATTGTTACAGTGAGTAGCATGCTTATATTTATCACATTTAAACTTACCACTTTCAAAGGAAAAGACATGTTTTAAAAAGCGTTATTTTGAAAAGCATTATATTGTCATACTCATTAACACAAAGAAAACACACTCTTGGGAATTTTGTTTTCAATGATAATGCATACTATAGAGAACGATATGTAATTAACAGTTAAAATGTATTTCAAGTGCTGGTACAGTTGCCTGTTCTATTACCATCTCTACAAATAGGATATGGCAAAAAATGAATTGTTGTCCCCATGATAAACATTTTTTCTTCCTAGAGAAGGGAAAAAAAGAACCCTACAATCAGATACATGTGCCTCTATCATTTAGCTTCATTGCATTTATCTTTAACATCCCTTATTAAACTGAATGTATTTTTTTTTTTTTTTTGCATTTACTCCTAAAAATATCTCATTGAATCAAAAATGTCCTAGTGGACTCTTCTGTGACTCAACCACCAAAGAGAATGAATGCCTTTTATGTGGGGTTTGCCCACCATTATAGACACAAACATTTGCTAACTAACACAATTCATGAGAGTTACTTCCCTATGCTGAGACTACAGTCAACTGGTCTACCTCTGCTCAACTATTACAATTGGTGGGCTGACATAGAGTATATGTACATCTCCCCACAAAAATTCAACTCAGAAGCAATTGAGGAGGCACCATCACAGAATATACAGTAGAAGATGAGACATGGAGAGAACAGATAATATCAGAGAGGTAAAATGCAGTCACTTAACCTGGATCAAGTAGCCAGGGCTCTGTGGAAGACCTTCAGAGCTCACATAGTGCCTGCTACAGCAGCAGAATTGTTACAATCCTAAGAGGCTCAATGAGAAACACAGAATTCACCCATACAACAGATCTTACAGTTGATTGTCTCCCAATATGAAATAGACAGTGCCTTGGTGTTCCATTAAGCTTTAATACAGCAGTACAATAAGCAATAAAGTCTTTAAAATAATCACATATGAATTATTAATCTCAACACATTTCTGCCTCTTTAAAACACCTAATAATGCAACTACTGGTGAGGATACATGTACTAATCACTATCCTTCTAACACATTTGAAAATGATAACTTCAACTCTATCCTTCATTGAAAGGTTTTCTAGAGATTTTGCAATACACTTACCAGTTATAGGGACTTAAACCCGATGAAGCAGTGAAACACAAGAAACAAAAATATGAATCAATATGACAAGCCTCTAAGCCCTCTAAGTAAATAAGTAGATAACAATATTAAGAAATAGTTGAAGCTATTTCAAAAATCACTTTATAAATACAAATTCAAGTAGATGCAAAATAACTATAAAAACCAGTCTATGAATGCTAAAAATGCAGTACTTTCCTACATCTAATATGACTAATGACAGACTTAGCTTTTCAAGAGCATGAACATGTACAAAATCTGACAAAAGAAATGTATACACACTGCAGAAAAAGAAAAACAGTGTATTTTTTTCAACAGATGGTGTTACCCTCACATGGGGGGCCCTAGGGGATGTCTGCTGTGCAGAAAACCCACAATATTGCACACTATTAGATAAGAAACTGAAAACTCATGTGCAGCAATCCCAATGACCAAGGTTACCCAAGGAACAGTTCACCATACTAATAAATGTCTGGAAGCTCATGGCCACCACTTTGATCATGTCTTATAATTGTAGAGGCCAAAGATAACTTGTATTAATGTTATTTCTCAATAAATTTAGTATTAAAATATTTATACAGGCTTTTTTCCTGAAATATATACACATTTTTGGGTAGACTCTATATTTTATATCAACCAACTTGATTGTCAAAATGAAATAAAATGCAAAAATGTTTGCAATTTAAATGCAACATAAAATGAATGTTTATATAGATAGGTCATATGACCTTGATCTTCCTTACACTTGAATACTCTTTTTCACAGGGAAGTTATTGCAATAATTTTTTAAACTTTGATGTCTATAAAAACATGGATATTATTTCATTTTCCCTTTATAAAATCCCATGAACACAACACAGCACACAATATTTTACTGTTACATAGATGAGGAAGCAAATATATAAGTTATTTTTATGAACTAATAGTCAATCCACAGGAGGACTGAGATTTGGACCTACTTCTACATGCTCTTAGAAAATCATTATGATGAAATTCTACACATCAAGGCAACTGATTCTTTTCCAATGAGTTTAATAATATTTTAATTGAACTTTCATTTAACTTGATATTGACAGCATCCTACGGTGCTCAAGGGAAGATGATATCTGCAGAGGCATTTGGGGCCTCCTCAGTGGCTGTCATTCAAGGATTCACCCTATGCATGCAGCCCGCCTCTTGGGACAAATCCCAAATTCATTTCTGTCTGTTTATTGATGTGGGCATCACACAGAGAGTGCAGTAGGAGGAAAACAGATTCTTTCAGAATATACATTCCTTAATTCAATTATAAAATTATAATTTGAAATAATTACTTGAGTGAGTAAGAGGTACATTTTAATTAGTTGAATTGGTTGTATTGCTCCAAAACATTTCATAACATAATCCATTGTGGATAGTAAAAATATATGCATAAAATGTAAGCTAAAAGACATATTTAATAAGCGATGTTATAAATAACATATATCTTTTGTTAATTTTATTTTTTAATTTTTTTTATTTTTTTGGTTTTTCTCTGGTACCAGGAACCGAACTCACGACCTTGCGCTTGCCAGGCAGGCGCTTTGCCGCTGAGCTAAATCCCCAGCCCCTCTTTTGTTAATTTTAGAAAATACATTTATCTGATAGTTTCCATATTTCTTTTGTTAAATCTTAATTTAAAATATGAGAGCCAAACTGATGTGGAATTTGCAAACACACAGGCAAGCAGGCCAATTATTGGTCGAGGAATGAGGTACGCTCTGAATGAAACTCATTTAGTCTGAAATAGCTCCACTTTTAAATTAATGCAATCTTATATCTGACAGGCCTGAATCATCACTAGCAGTGTCAGGAGTCTTAGATGTCGCCCAGAGGTAAACCATGTGACTTGTTCTTAACTTTGGAAAGACATCATTAATGTATGTACGGTTTATATACAATTCCAAACCCTACATTGAGATTCTAACAATGTAACCTATGTTTGCAAATTCTTACTAAAGCAAAAGAAAAGTGCATCCACTCCTAATGTTCACCTATGAATGTATTCTTTTACTGCTATAAAGTTGAAAGGATTTAGAAAAAAATCCCTTCCCACAAGAAGACTTGTATATATCAGCTAGTATTAGCTAGGATTGGTTCCTGCGATCTAAAGCATTTGAGCCCATTTCACTCAGCTGGATATGTTGCTACTAGTCCTATATTAAAGGCCACCAAACTTTTGTTTCAAATCTAGCAGAATCACAATTTAAAGAATATGTTGCTTTCAACAGTAGCCTGTACTCTGCCACACTGAAATTTACTAGATCTAATTGCATGGAATAGAGTAACTGTCTCTCACAAGACCATGGCTATTTTAAGTACAAGATGCTTTCTGCACCACAAAGTTACTATTCAAACAAAGCTACAACTCATGCAAGGAGTTGTGATCCATGCAATACATAAATAAATAAATACATAAATAAATAAAATGATGATAACGATGATGATGATGATGATAAAGATTTAGGGCCTCACCTAACACAGCAGTCGGCACAAGAGGGTCATTGGGCACTGTAGAAAAACAAAGCTCATGAAGGATTATATTGCTCTGAAATTGAATTCTGAACCTTTTTTTAAATAAAAGATTGTGCTCTCTTAAGAAATATAATTATTCAGCTTCCTTCTATTACTGGATCCCTCAAGAGGAAAATTCTCTCTTCTAGTTTGGGTTATCTCAAAACATCAAGGAAGGTCTATCTGTAATTATAGCTTAGTATTCTGCCTAATTTAAAAAAGTCACAAGATTCAACTTGACATTATAAAGAGTATAAAATTAGGGGGAAAGAAACCATGCATTTTAGATCTAAGGTACTTTGAGAAAAATGATCTCATATTCATTCCACACACTTTTTTTTTTCCAGTTAACTGTGGGAAATGGATTTAATCTTTTATCTAAGTGCATAAGTAGATATTTATAGCCACCTTACTGAATTGAGGCTTTCTAATAAGATGCTAATATATGCAATAATTAGAAAAGTTTAGGACCAGAAATGCTTTTATACCTATAATTGATTAAATATTATATCAAATACTTAGAGATATGGTGCCTTTATATATTTTGCAAAACTTACTTTCAACAGTAATAATATTTTATGTTCTTCCCTATCATTTACCTTAAAGTGGAATGAAAATAAAACAGACTAGAAAAGCTCTATCATGTTTTAAATGAAGTTCCAAAATGACTCACATTGTACTTCTAACTTCTAATTTGGGATAGATATATGTCAAGGAAAATAACAGGCTGTATTTGGAGCCAATAATTATTGCAAATTTTTATGAAGCTGAAAACTTCATGAAATACTTGGGAAAATTCTCTCTGAAAGGATGTAGAGACATACAATCTATAAATACTTTCCTTTAACCCTTATCACTATATACGTTTATAATTTGTATAACAAATAACAATTCTATTCTTTTCTTACATCCATGTTTTCCAGACTAGATATTTACATCCCTAGGTCTGTGCCAAAATGCCCCTGGCTACAAAAGACCAACAAACTGGTATGTGCACTTCAAATCTCAGTTTTACTTGAGGATTTGATACAATGAAATCAGGTCATGGAAATTTAATTAAGATAAACAGAGGTCCTATAAAACAGAATATGAAATTTATAGGAAATTTGAAGATAAACAGTAATATTGAGTCTGAAATAATTATTCAAATCATCTGCAAACAATACTTCAGTGGAAATATTTTGAAAGCCCTACCTGCATGGATCAGGATTAGTAATATTGTAAGATGGACAGATGGACAGTTTAGACTTCACACTAGCAACTTTAGAGTATGTAGACTAATCTTTCCCCTAGTTAACTATTTAGTACTGAAATTTTCTAGGACTCCATAGTAGATTAATTTTAATGGAATATTTTTACCTATATTACTAATTTCCAGCAACAATGATCACTTCTTCTTATCTCAAAGGAAACCTGACCTGATGCAAAAAAGATGCAAATTTCATAATAATTATAAATTCTGACACAAATTCATTTTATGTAGGCAATCATATATTTTAACTTAAAGCACTTCATATGGTATGAGCTGTGTATTTTTGGAATATTTCTTATACTTTAATAATAAAATGGATACAGTTTGAGGATAAACTAAATCCACTATCAAGCCTCAGTGCAGACCTTCTTATAAATTCTGTATCACCTCTCTTTTCTGTATCTAGCCGATCCTTTCTTCTTTCTCCCCCTCTGTTATTGTTAATCCGTAAAATGTATAATGAATTTACAGAGCTTCAAGACAACTTAGTACAATTTGGCTGAAGAACTTACATCTTGGGCTAAAATTATGTTGGTCCATAAAGGTGATGGACAGAGGGTCTTCCGCATGTAGTGTGCTCTGATCCGCATAACTTCGGTCCATGGCGTTCACCATGTGAGTCATCTCCTGGCGAGCGTTCCCCATGGCGTCTTTGCGCTTCTTAGCAAGCTTGCTGCGAAGGCAATAGGAGAGGGAATCCTCAGTATAAGGTCTGAACAAGAGTGGACACCAGCAGTAAGTAGTTTAAGTGTGCCCGAGGACAGGGTTACACATGTGGTCCATTAAACCTGAGAACTGGTTATAATACCAGCAATGAAGTTGACACTCAAACAATTATATTGGTTGGTTGTTGCAAAATTACTGTATTTTTCAGGTATTCCAGCTGTCAACACAAAACCTGTCATCATTTTCTATATTTCACTCTGTTAAATCAATCTCATAGGAATATAACTACATTTTATCAAAAGTATGAATAAGTACTTTCTAAATTGAATATGTAGTTCAAGGAAGATCTAGGCTAAAGTTAAGTTTTAATCACTCTACTAGTGGACCAGTTCTTTTGGGCATCTTTTGAAAGTTTTTCTTGAAATTAATATGACCTAAGTTTGTTTTATGATAACCACCCAGTGCAAATAGATGCTAACCAGGCATAGTGGCCCATAACTGCAGTCACAGCACTCAGAGGTGATGCCAGAGGATCACATGCTCCAGCCCAGGCTGGAGAACTTAGTGAGACCTTATCTCCAAATTAAAAAAAAATGCCTAAGTTGTAGCTCCACGTAAAGGTCATGGGTTTAATCCCTAGTAGTGCAAAAGGAAAAAACCAACAAAACGAAACCCCAAAAACTCATTCTTAATTTTCTCTGCCATTGCTAAGTAAAAAATGTCATACGGATAGCATTAACATCTTTAACAAAACACTTATAAAATTAATAAAAGCCAATCCTGAAGTCTTAAAATTGACCACAGTAACACATAATTCAATTACACATGGATATAGGGGATTAAAATATGTAAGTGCAGGAAAAGTTCTGAGAAAAATGTGAAAAATACTATGCAAGCTTCTAATGCAAATTATCATCATTGTGGAGTACTGATTTGGCCCATTGCTGTAAATTAGTGATTTAAAACCCTATGGCAACATATTCCCAACAGAAATGCATTACAAACACCACAGGGCACATGACTGACAGGACTTAGCAATAAGCAGAGTTCACATTTTGAGCTACTCAAATAATGATCCCCTTATCTTACACACCAAGAATGTAAATTATATTTTGGTTCATATGACTGCTTGATTGGGAACAGTCAAGGAAAAAAACTATATTTAAACCACATTAACCAGGCAACTTATTTATGATATAAAAACATTGTAAACCTCTGTAGTAGGCAAATTATAAGAGTAAGCTCATGGCAGGAGTTCTTTTGTCTTGGAAATGTTCTTCCCTTGTTCTGAGAACATCACTTCTCAGCTAGATTGTAAGGTAAGATATTCTCTTCTGCTCCTCATTAGTATCTGTACTTGAGTAAATGCGTTAGGAATACTACAAAGGCTCATTTAGTAGAATCAGTTTGTGTCCAGAGGCTTTGCAGTTAAAAATTGACTCTAGCAATTTGAGAATTGTTCCAGGGTTTTTTCCCCGCGAGAATGGTACCACTTGTCCTCATGGGGCATACTCAACATGCACAACACACTGACACAACAGATCTGGCACCCGAGGAAGACAGGCAGAAACTAAAACTTGGAGGGAGAGATGACCCTGCATTTTAAAGAAATAATTACCATCAGGGTGTTAGTCATATTTAAGCACACAAGGACAGAGTTACAACCACCACCAAGACTACCTCTAAACCATCACCATCACCACGGTTATTTATCGGCAACATTTGCTCTCTACGCCCACACGGCTATGAACTCTTCTTTGTGGTCTAGATGGCCAAGACGGTAAAAAACTGCCAGGCAGTTTAGGGGTAACTTACATGAAATCTGAGTGTTAAAATTTAGAGGTTTTTTTGTTTTTTGAAAGAGCGTGTGGGCTGAATTAAATATCATTAAGTCATATTAAGCCTATAGGCTTCTATTTTCCAAAGGCCTCTAGGCCATCACAGAGAGTATTTGTTTTTCAATCTACAACATTCTTCAGCCTGTAGTATTTGGCTAACACTCATCTGTTCTGCTTCAGCCAAAAGATGTTTTACAACACCATGTCCTCCTCATGTAATGACACCTTTTCAGTCATCTCCCCACATGTGCTGCATGGAGAGAAACCATTGATATGCATACATCCCAGGCCACAGGAGCACACTTGGCATATAGCAGGCACTCAATAAACACTTGTTGAATAGGTAAATTAGTCCTGTTATACGCTTCCACTTTTCATTTGCTAACTCAATTAATTCTCAGATCAGTCCACTGAAAACAGCACAAGGGTTCTTCTAATCGTATGGATGCATTCATTAAGGATTAGAGGAATTAAATAACTTGCCCAAGGTTGTTTGTGTAATAAGCAATGAAGAATGATCTGGTTCCAAGGCTTAAGCTCTTATTCCATATGCTGATGCTCACACTGCCTTTACTGCCACTTATAAAGTGCCCTATACTACAAAGCACTGCATACTCTAATTACTAAGCACTGGTCACTACATAGTAGAGAGGAAGATAAAGACAGAGAGAGAATGTTGTCATTTGCAAATCTAAAAAAGTAGCAAAATGCTTAGGTAATTAACTTTGTTTCTTGGGTGAGAAGAATGAATTTATTTCCCAAAAAATAATATCAGAGAACGAGTAGGATTAAAAGAGCGCACCCTGATATTTGGCCTCAAAATAATGCTAACGTTTTTTACATGGCCGTACAGAAAATAGCAAGTGAAAAGGATGTTTTTTTATTTTACTATCAAATATGTATCACTGATATCTATTTCATGATCAGGGAAAATTCAGCAATAATGAATTTTTCAAATGCATGAAAAGTTGAAGTTTTCACTCAGTGAAGAACTTTTACCTCTCAGAGCCACAGATTTAGACTAACAGGCAAATTACGTGCGGATACAACTGTTGTGGATACCTGTCACCCATGCATCACTGGCTTGGTTCTTACATCTCAGTCTGCACAACAAACCTTTGAGGTGGGCTTTCATTTAAGTTATTACAAAGAAAACGAAGACTTGACATCAGTTTAAGAGTTTTCATTAATGACTGACACTTCCTATGACAATGCCCATGAAGATTATCTCAAAGATCACATGTGGTTTTCTTTTAATTTTTGTTTTAGGTAACGTCTACTTTTTTTTATTTTTAAAAAAGTCCCTATTTCAGATCGGTATCAGAGGGTATGCTTAATCAGCCTTTAGAAACACAGCTCTGTGACCTTCTTGCTAGTTAGGATTTAAAATGCCAGTATAGCTAAGTATCACCATAACATTAGCATGACCTACTGCATTTTCTAGAACATGGAAATGTTAATCCAGCCCCCCAAAAGGGAAGCCCATTCTAATTTGTTTTTGGTCCTGGGAATTGAACTCAGGACCTTACGCTTGCCAGGCAGGCGCTTGTGCCACTGAGCTATATCCCATTCTAATTTTGCAGATACACTGGTAGTGAGGAGTAGGGTTATTGATAGTCTCATAATTAAGTACTTGTTGATTCCAGTACGTCTCATGCTTTGTTCCCATGGGCAACCAGGATTTATCATGTGCTCTTCAGGACAGTTTAGCAATTCATTTTGCAAGTACTTGAGTTTGACAGATGCGCAAATGACTTTCATTATCAAAGCAGGCAACGGCATACACTTCTGCAGGTGGATGAATGGGTAGGCCATAAAGGGGAAAAGTACTCCATCATTGTACGAAATGGTACAGTTAATTACCTTTGGCTTCATCAAATATGATTTAACAAGCATATTATGATTCATCACAATAAGCTAGGAGCACTGTTCCCTTACACCTGCTTGTTTTAGCAGATTCTAGGAAGCCAAATGTTTATAATGTTTAAAATGTTGGCAGAATTCGGTTACAGTGATTGACTCATAAAATTTTGTTGTGAAGCTAGCTTAAATTTTCCAAGTGATAGAAATGTTGTGGGATATATGCCCCAGTCGTGTTTAGTCCGTAAGCTCAGAAAAGTGTCATAGCATTTCTCTCAACTGAATGAATTAGCACTCTGGAATCTAAAGTGATAAACTAAAAATGACTCAGAAAACAGCATGGACAACTGTCTCCATCTCCATGAAAATGAGATTCCCACACCTAAGTGTAGAATGTCACCGACACTGAGGAGAAAAAGAAAGAGAAGATATCCACCCTTGTTCCTCAGTCGATTGACAAGAACATTATTAGCCTTGGTTTGACAAATTCTTTGTTATTTATTTTCCTACATTATTATTTTGTCTTAAAAGAATTTTATTTTATTTTTTTTTTGCCTCAGCAGCAGCGTGATTTTATTCATTTAATGACCAGACCAAAGAAGTTCAGAAGTCATAACCCACCCTGGGTTCCTAGAAAAGTGTAGAGAGAGGTTATCCCATGCAGATCTGACTGGATTTGCAACCTATGAAGTCACTTTGAATGTTCTGTGAATACAACACTTGGCTCATTTTCTCAAATATTATGATATTATATAATGATAGGGATTCAGGAGTTACAACAGCTTTCTCTATGAAATGAATGAAGTATCCCATTGCTAAATAAGGTACAGGTTTAAATTATGTAAATAAAGTAATTTTTTTTTGCTATAGACTAAAGCTACTTATGAAAAATTATGAATAAAAATTAAAAGGAGCTGAACATACAGAAATACAATATCCCTTTTAAAAAAGATAAACAAAATAGGTAATAGATGATTACTTTAGAATCCAGAAAAACATGTTTTGAAATATCACCAAAATTACCAACATTGTTTCTTTGTTTTTTTGAAAAGGGATACTGCACCTTCCACACACATAAAGCCGAACATCACCCATTTTCTACTTACAGGTAGTAGGAGTAAGAATAGTAGCTCCTCCTGGCAAGCAAATCACAGACAGTGGAAAAAGAGAAGCAATGGTGAATGAAAAGCGTGACTCTGTCACATTCAATAAAGCAGAAAAATGTGCGTTAAAAATAAAACAAAATAAAATAAAATTCATGTTTTTGCTCTGCATTTTAATTTGCTCATGCATTGTTAGATTTTTTTTTTTTTGCCATGCAATTAAACAGACAGATATGCAGTAGAAAAATAAAATTTGAAATACATAATTTGGAAAAAATAACATGCTGACATTTCTTTTATTGCCAAAAAAATCAAGAAATTAAATGGATTATGTATATTCAACATGCAGTTAAGCATAGTACCATCCATTACTATCTAAATGTCATGACAGATGGAACAGCTGTGTACAGAACTTGTATACTAAATAGATTGTTTTTATAGATATAAAACAGAAAGAGCTATTATGTTCAAATAAAGTATACATAGAATAAGACCTAAGTTAATATCTTAATGGCACAAAGGTGTATATTTTTATGCTATATGAATATACACATATGTACCACACACTATACATACACAAAGAAATTTCTACAGTAGATGCATGTGAACATAAACACAAACATTTACTGTATTGAAACTCAATTTCAAATTTATACTTGGAATTATTAATGTACGCATGCTGTGCATTTAAAATACAATACGCAATTGATGGAAAAATGGCATACATTTGGAAATAATTCACAGCAATTAAATTAAAAATGACATCGTGTTCTGAAAGATGCAATATCCCTTTTATTAGCCTAAGAATTTACTTTCTATATACCCTCAGCAGTTAAATTATACTCAGCTGAATCCCAAACCACTCCTTAAAAAACAACCAAAACACACAAAACTTTTTCAGCATGAGAAATATGTCTATATGTGTCATTCCCAGTGAGGAATTAAGTTTTGAGAAATTAAAATCTTTTCCATAAAATGCAGATAAGAAACTAAAATATTTTGCTTTTCCACTATTTTATTATAAATGTATCCTTAAAAGTGAAGGTACTGTATCTAATAATTTTTAAAATAGATAATATCCAATACTACTAATTTTATACATACAATAATTATTTGTGTTTAAATCATACAACATTCATGTATGACATATACTACATATGGATGAAAGTCACTAAAAAGTTGCTTAGTTAAGTTAGGAGTTTAGGTAATTTTGACATATATATACAAAGAAAGTTTTTCCATCAGTAAAATTTCAACTTTGGCTAGTCAAAAAGGTGCTGGTGAGGAAAAGACACTAAATCCCTTCGTACTTTCTGTCAGTTAATGTACACTTATGAAAATTTAAACATTTTAACCAGAGCCAGCTTTATAAAATCATTTAAACTAAGAACTAGAAAAGGAGTCTGTTACATTATACAGCTTTAGAGATCTACCAGAAAATTTATTCCTTCAAAATCTTGCTCCATGATTATTTTAGCACACAGTACAAGTTTATCTTTCAAGATTTTTTTGTTCTAAAATGGACAGCCATGGATATGGTGAGATTATCAAAAGTGAGTAAGTGTTTTCAAATAAATGGCAAATAAAACTTTGTTAATTTAGTTCTGAGTGAAGTCACAGAAAAGTATGTACTGTCATGCTCAGATCCCATGTAAAATGATCAGAATTTTAATTGTGAAGCTAAATTTAGTTGACTCAACTGTTTATGTCACTCCTCAAATATATAAACCAAACAGACATAAAATTTGAATGTTATATTCTCTGACTTTGATGATCCTTATGAGAAAATGTATATTTCTGAAAACCTTCAGTCTTGCCTCACATATGATGTACTTTCTAACCACAGAGGTAGACAACAGCGAAAGGAAAAAGCACTATTTGGGGAAAGCGCGTATGTAGCTAATTTAACACAAAACACTACAATGCATACCTAATGTTTCTAATGCAGATGTGTCTTCTCCAACATATATATCTCCAGGGGATCATTGTAAAGAGGCAATATATTAAAATAAACTCTCATGGAATTGTTAAAACATGTAGTATGAGTTTTATCTATCATCTTAATGCTTTATTTCAAATATAAAATAATTATAATAGTATAGTATTTGATTCATGTAATAAGCAACATCATTTAGCATATATTATAGAATTCATAAAGTATAACCATGTCTGAACAGAACGTTGTTGAAATGTACACTCATGTAAGACTATTAAAAAGTTCCTGGAATTTATAGCACCATCCAACATACATGATTGGACAGATTGCAGTGCTGTATTAGTTTCTAAGACAATGATTTACAGGTGATAACATTTTATATTGTGGTTAAAAGCACAGTTATAAAAATGATATACTTTGAAATGTTTATCAGCAGGAATATACATTTGTCTCCAGAAGACAGCAGTTTAAATTTGAATAGGTTTTAATACCTTCATATATTCCCAGAAGATGGCGATATTGGTTGATACAGTATAATAGATAATACTCAATAAAAAATTTCTTTCTTCATTTGAAAATTTTAGTCAGTGCATATTTAATATATGAAATAATTGAATAATGTCTATATTCTTCTTCTATCTTATTTGAAGCCAAGCTTGAGAAAAATATGGCATAAGAATACAAAATAATTCAGAGAGTATAGCCTAAGTATCACAAAAATATCCATGTTTTGTCGTTCTTAATAACACACCAAATGCAAGATAAATTAATATCTCAAGTACCTCTTCTTTTGAACATTTACACTTCAAGGTTAACTTAACAAAAAACATGTTTTCATTTCATTAACCCCAAATTTCATTTCAAATAACCACAGAACTTATTTAAAAAGCATGAGGGATAGGCCGGGTACCACTATCCTCGTTAAAATTAATTTCTTCTCCTTATATTTTCTAACTTGAAAGAAATGGAGGGGGAAAGGTCCCTGAGAACTGGCGACATCAAGGAAGTGGCAAAGGACGACCTCCAATCTTACCTCTTTTTTACAACTAATATGACCACAAGGAGAAGGAGGATGAAAACCAGAATCCCAGCACTGATTCCTGCAATTTTCACCACTCTGTCCGTCTGCTTGGCCGGATCTGGGATCACTTCTGGTTCTTCTGTTGCTGCTGCTAAATGAACCAGGAAAAATAAATTACTGAAAGCAGCTAATTATTACAGAGAAGAAAATGATGCCTCCCCCAAAAAAGTTACTATAAAAAGACACATATTTTGCTATTTGAACAAAGTTACCTGACGATATAAATACAGAAGCATGTTAAGTGACACTGTGAGAAATTTAAGGTCAAACTAAGGGAAGACCTTTCAGATTGGAGTTCTGTTTCATACTAAACACATATAACAACAAAACAAAAAGGAAATCTGTAAGCATCAAAGAGAATGTTGAACTACCTTTCTCTAATGTTCTATAAGTCAGAACACAAAATTTTTAGCACATAATACATTGGAAAGAGATGGGGTCAGATTTAGAGATATGTCTGTTTATGGATTCGTTCAGTAAACCTCTCAATGCAAAGCACTGTGCTCCCTGGCAGGCAGTGTCAGCCACAGCTGGTTGGGACACCCCGGGTTCATCAAATACATGCTTAGCCCACCTCCTGGGCACAGGGACGTGCACTTCCACACAGAAGATTTAGGATGAACTGCAGGTTTGGCAGAAGCAAAGGACAAGCCAAATAGAGACATTCAGGACTATTTAGCCTTTACTTAGCCAGTACAACCCAGCTAATGGAGCTGGAAAAGAGATTCTCTCTCTCTCTCTCAATCTCTCCCTCTCTCCCCTTTCTCAGAACCACCTTCGTCCAGCCTTTCCTCCATATAGTACATAATTAAAATTAAAAATTTTAGAAGATAGAAAAAATGTTAGAAATATCCAAGCCCCAGTAACTTTCTGAAGAGACTTTCCTTTCACCTCATTTACCTTGAACACTGGCCGAGAAAGTATTATTATGTGCAGTTTACAGATACAAAAACCCTGAGGCCTACAGAATTAAGGACAGACTATAAATTGCTAGAGGACAGAGACAAAATCTAAGACATCATCAATATTTTAACACAGTTTCCAGATTTGTGGCCCCTACTGTCAAAAATGTGTGTGAGAAGAACCCAGAGGCTCTTTAAGATCAGGCACATTTGGGGAAAAGGCCTTAAAGTGCCTGTCAGAGCCCCTTGCATCTGGAATGAGCAGCCGCACAAGCCAGGCTGTAGATCTAAGCTTTCATCTTGCTAATGAACAATGTGCATATTCTCTTTTAAAAGTCATAATTTTTTGATTTAGTTTCTTCTTTTGACTTCTTTCCTTTCCACCCCCGTTCTGCACATCTAAACACTGCTGCAGTTTCTCACCAGCCACAGGTTCGGTCCAGAGAGGACAGATAGGTTTATCTATGTTTTTCCATGTGAGAAATTTAAAAGAATAACTTTCTTTTATACTATTTCATAAAATGGTCATTTAAATATAAACTACTGAAAAACATACAGTTTGAAAAAAACCTGTCAGAGAGAACGCAACTGTATACTACAACTTACTGTATTTCTTTTTATTTTTATTTCAGTTGTATAGGTGCAAACTTTCCTATGGACCGGTAATTGTTAACTACTATTTTCAAGCAGAAAAAGCAAGCCTTTAGCGTGTATTTCTTTTAAGTTTTCTGGTAAGCAAAAGCAGTTTTCCTTTATGACTTGATACTTCCCAAGCACAGAGGCTCAGGGAATTTCAAACTTCATAAACAAAGGTCACTCAGTGTTTACCACATTTCAAACTGCATATGCTTCTCAATTCATCAGAATATGTGGCAAATATGTTGGATATCTCTTCTGTCTGGAGGTTAACTTTAGAAATACACCCATGTCTATATGCAATACAGCCATGTACTGAAGACAGTTGGAATACTTTCCTAAGCTGGCTACAAAATTTAAGTTCACTTATTGCTTGTAATATTCAAATTAGATTGGTTTAACATGGATTCTTCTAATGGGAATGGAAACAGAATGTTTGATGTAAAAATCCCTAGAAGAAACTTTAGTCTGTGAACAAATCCTCATTATTCACTCATGAAAGCCCACTTGCAAGCTGTTCTTTGTTATACCTTTCTTATATAAAATGACTTACAGAGTTAAATAATTGGATAATTTGTTTAAAAATCAGTTCTTGTTTGATGAGGTCAAGATTTTAAATAAAACATTTTAATTCTATGAGACATGATGTTGTGGAATAACTATCTAAAGATATTATGTCACATTTAGCCTATTATATTTTATAAGAATCTTCACAACTGTTGCGTTCCACTAGAACTACACAATGTGTATAGGTGCAAATACATGTAAAGGTGCAAAAACACACCATTAAGTGTGAACAGTAACCTCAATATACCCGAGCTTAATAATTAAATAACAAAAAAGGGCTGGGGATTTAGCTCAGGGGCAAAGCGCCTGCCTGGCAAGCGCAAGGTCGCGAGTTCCATTCCCGGTACCGGAGAAAAACCCCCAAATAAATAAATAAATAAATAACAAAAAAATGTGAAAGGGATAGATACACAATTTCCAATTCAGAGGAGGAAGAATTCTTAAAGTCTTATTTGCGAGATTAGCTAATACATTAATCCACACATATTTAAAGAAATGAAATGCCAGATCTAAATGCAAATCTTTGAACAGAAATATGAATGAACTGGCAGGCGTGCTCAGGGCGTGCAGCATTCAGACTATCAGAATGTATTATGCAAATCCATATCACTACCTTCCAGTGTGAGCCCACAGCTTCGCTAACGACTGACTTCAATTCATATTTACCAAAAGATTAGAAAGAACACAAACACTAAGTTCATTTATTTGAGTTGGGTAAAGGAGCTTTGTCTGTCATGATTACAGTGCCTATGTAAAGAGCCGTTCATCAATCTTTAATTCAATTACTGAACCTGTGGATAGAAGGCTAATCAAATCCACCAAGGCACGTGATCCGGCAGTAGTTGTTGTCCCCTGAGTGGGAAGCCTTCTCAAAGTTCTCAGTTGTAACATTTATTATTACTGTTACTTCCAACAGTATGTTTAATAAAATACGTGTATAAACTTATTGCCTTGCATATTTTAATTATCTGTAATTTTCTACTAGAATCAAAGAACATGGAAATCCTATTCAAAATCATTCAAGTTCACAGAAACATTAATGGAAATACAAGTAGTGACCTTAAGTGACCACATTCTATTTTCCTCAAAGAGAGCAAAATGCCTTTATAGTAGATGCACGTCTGAGCTCTGCTTATAATTTATGCACATACACAAAGGCATTGTAGGATCACCTTTACTAGAAATGCTTTCATATGCCATAAATCTTTACCTTTTATCTGCCAAATAACATTTGGAGTATTCCCCTATATTCTTAAGCCAAGAGCAGTACAGTTCTTTGTGCACATGGACAAAGTGTGAAAAAATAAGATGGCAGAGTTTCATTTTTACTTAGCGAGTTCATCAATACAGTTTTTCTTTGTTTTTGTTTTTGGAAAATAGCTAAACTAACTTTATAGGCCATATTCTTGCTCTTCTTAAAATTGAAATAGTTTCAAAGTAAAAAATTTAACTAAAAATTTAAAACGAAAAGCTATGATTAAACCAGCAAAATCTTCTGCTTTCTTGATGGCCATTAAAGATGAAAGTCTCTAAACAGAAGGTGTTAGGTGATCTTATAGCATCTTTAGAGACATTGTTACTCAAATTGAATTAGGTAAATAAAGGAGTTGTTTTTTTTTTGCTATATACTAAAGCTACTTATGGAAAACTATGAATAAAAATTAAAAGGAGCTGAACATACAGCAAGACAATATCCCTTTTAAAAAAGGTAAACAAAATAGGTAATAGTTGACTACTTTAGTTCTGAATAATTGTTCACATTCCCATCTGTCATTCATTACAATCCCACAATCAGGCACCCGCTTCCTAACACCAAAAAAACCGTCAACAACGGCTTACTAACTATTTGATTCAAAGGTCTCCTTCCTCTTATTTTATACATTCTTTGAAAGCATTTGACATTTTTCTACTCCTTGCAGTACTTTTTCTGTTCCTATGGCTTCCACTACTTGCAAATCTCCTTATTTTCTTATGATTCTGGCGTATTTTTTCTAGATCTTTGTTTTCCACTCCTTTTTTTAACCCAAACTTTAAAACAAGGTACCCCTTTGAGTGTTGCAGGGGCTTTGGACTCTTGGCAATGACTTTCATACTTTCTGGTGAGATCTTCACTTCCAGTAACTTCTGTTATTATCCATGCAGATCACTTTCGCTAATGCATCTTTAACCTAGTTGAGCTCTTTACCCCGTGTGCTCATCTTTACCCCGTGTGCTCATCTGGTGCTTATGTCTTCACTTCACCATGTGATAGTCACCTTCGACACACCAAACCTGGACTCGGACTTTCTTCACCACTTCTTCAGTTCCTCCCCTTCCCTACAGGACATGCTTATCCACACAGCTGTTGCTGCTGGAAATGAGGGCACTATGCCTTCTTGCTCCTCCCTCTTCTACCTCTTGGATGGATAAACATACAATTTTAGATGTTTTTCAAAGCAAAAGAGAACACTGTTAATAATTATGAAAGGACTAAAAGCAAAGTTGTGATGGGCCTGGGTAAGCATGGTTGCTTTGCTGCTTTCTCATGCAGTTAGCAACAAAGCAATGCTCCATTCTCTGTGTCTTGTTTCCAACCTTTCCATCCCCACTGCTGCTCTCTGATCTCAGGTCAACAGCATCTCTCACTCAAATAATGCTACAGCCGCCTGTCATATCCCCTGACTGCAGGCTTTGCCTATTCTACATCAGAACTCACACAACAATTCATTTGGATAGAATCACTTCACTGAGTAGAGCCCTCCAATAGATTCCCATGGGTAAGATAAAGTTCATGAAAGTAAGAATCATATTTATTTTGTTCACCATTGTATTTCCAGGAGGGCTTGGGAGAGACTCTCAGTACAAAAATATCCGTTGAATAAATAGAAAAATAATATTAATCTTTCTTACAGTAGAGAGTAATGACATAAAAAAAAAACAAAAAAACAACTAATTTCCGAAAAGCACATGGGTACATTTGATCTTATTGTTTTGGATGTTAGCC